GTCACTCTAATATTAATAATATATAAAATTATTATTAGATATAATTATTACATTATTATTATTATTATTATTATTATTATTATTATTATTATCTTTATTAATAGTAAAAGTAATAAAAGCAATAATAACTGGAGTAATCATTTTATTTGGCACTACATACAATAAGCAGTTATTTAAAAGTTATTTAAAATTTTTATAAATATTTCACTATTTTTTTACATTTAATAAATGCTTCCTTGATAAACATAATAATTATATACAGTTAAAGTCAGAATTATTAGCCCCCTTAAAATTTTGTTCTTCTTTTTAAAATATTTTCCAAATGATGTTTGCAAGGGAATTTTCCCAGTATGTCTGATAATATTTTTTCTTCTGGAGAAAGTATTATTTGTTTTATTTCTGCTAGAATAAAAGCAGTTTAAACACATTTTTTAAACACAATTTTAGGAACAAAATTATTAGCCCCTTTAAGCTATATTTTTTCTTGATAGCCTACAGAACAAACCATAGTTATACAATAACTTGCCTAATTCCCCTTACCTGCCTAGTTAACCTCATCAACCCAGTTAGGCCTATAAATTTCACTTTAAGCATGTGTAGAAGTGTCTTGAAAAAATATCTAGTAAAATATTATTTACTGTCATCATGGTAAAGATAAAACAAATTCATTATTAGAAATGAGTTATTAAAACGATTGTGATTAAATTTGTGATTAAAAAAATCTTCTCTCTTTTACACAGAAAATGGAGAAAAAATAAACAAATGGTCTAATAACTGAGGGGGGCTAATAATTCTGACTTAAACTGTATAAAGATTATTAATAATAATCTTAAAAAAAGAAAAGGACATGACTTGACCGCAATACCCCAATTTTTTGACCGGCAATATATATATATATATATATATATATATATATATATATATATATATATATATATATATATATATATATATATATATATATATATGTATGTATGTATGTATAATTGTATCTGTAATTTTATAAGCATCTATAGCTCTGTTCAGTTTGATTACCTGCAATCTGTTTAAATCAAATCAAATACTTTCTACTTATAGCAAATTTTGTCACAGTTTGCAAATACATTACATAAATAACAATTGCTCCAATTCCATAATTGTCTGTCCTATTACCTTTTGTCCATGCTATTTCAAAATCTAGTTTAAAGGAACTTTGATTGTTAGATTTATAAAAAGGGAAAAAAATGATTAATGTTAGCCCTGCTGTACCCAAATCTATTTGCTCTATATGATATGTGAATAAATAATGCGTGCACACACACACACACACACACACACACACACACACACACACACACACACACACACACACACACGCACGCACACACAGACATAAAGACACAGACACACAAACTGGAGGAACAATTATTCTGTAACTTAATTTACTGCTGTTACCAGAAGAGCTTTTTGTAATTCAAATGTCCAGGTAAGTGCACAATTTATTCACGACATTTTTGTTAATCTATCGTGCGGAAAACAAAATCGAGTTTTTTTCCTACGCCCACAAAGATTTTTTTTTTTTTCAGAAGACTACTGTAAAACATGTAAGTATTTCAGCGAAGATAAAACAAATGGAAAGCATGGGAAATGCATTCCTTCCTTCTGAAAACAAGAGTGCTGCTGCGAGAACAGGCCGCCTGTGTGGCGCTGTCCACCCGCGTGGTGCTGAAACACTCTTCACTCTGCTGCTTATTGTCTCCCCCCGCTCGTGGTTGAGTCCTTTGTTGCAAGAGGATCATGCGGTCTTGTACGGGAAAAAAAACATGTTTACTGCTAATATAAAAATGTATGCAATTCCATTTTAAAGGCGATAATTATGACTAAATATTAGAGTTTAAAAATGTCAGAGCTCATGGTTGTAAAAATGTAAAAATATTAAGCGCCTTTAACAATAAAATCCACATAAACAGAGAGAGGGAGACGGAAAGGGAGAGGAAGGGAGGGAGGGAGAAATACATGCACTCTTTCCACATATACTTCTGCGCTTCTTGCTGTCGCCGCTTGACGGCACACGTTTAATGTTTTTGCAACAGTTCTGTTAAATTGCAGTCAAAATATTTGATGGCAAGTGAATAAAAATAGTGCACACATGCACACATATACACATATATACTTCTATATATTAAATGCAATAATATATATATATATATATATATATATATATATATATATATATATATATATATATATATATGTGTGTGTGTGTGTGTGTGTGTGTGTGTGTGTGTGTGTTTTCACTGTGACTTCACTGTATCAGTGGCTCCACAGAATGCTCCACTTTGCCTCTGCCTCACTCCTGCTACCCCTTTAGGATACTTAACAAACTGGATTGGTTGCAGGGAAATGCACAGTCAGCCAATGAGTTACAGACTTGGACAAAGAGATCCACTCCCTCCCACGGTTGTGGCATCTTACGCAGCTTTGTGCTCAGAGAACGCATGAACGACTCGTTTTTATCAAAAGGACCTCTTACGCTAAACAGAAATATGTCATCGATACACTGCTTGGGATTTTGTAATGGGTCTGATTATTTTAAAACGCTGAGAATATTTGGATAAAAGGTCGAAAGCTTAGAGTCAGAGACGATGGAATCTCTGATCTTTTTGAGGAGGATTTGGTGGTGCTGTTTCTTTATTATTTCTTGGAGTACAACGGAGGCGCAGATTCGATACACAATTCCAGAGGAGCTAAGAGAAGGATCTGTTGTCGGAAATATTGCTAAAGACCTCGGTTTGGATGTATCTAAGATTTCAGGTCGTAAACTACAAATAGCGTCTGAGACTGGTAAGCAGTATTTCGCTGTGGATGTGGAAAAGGGTGATCTTACTGTGAATGAGAGAATTGATAGAGAAGATGTATGTGGATACAACGTCCCTTGTGTTTTGCCTCTTCAAGCCGTTTTAGAAAATCCTCTGCAGATGCATCGAGTTGAGATTGAAATACAAGATATTAATGACAACGCGCCCAATTTTAAATCTAATGAGCGTGTACTGAATATTCCTGAATCTATAAATTCAGGAGCAAAGTTCCTCTTAGAAATCGCTATTGACTCAGATGTACAGTCTAATTCGTTAAAATCATACAGTCTGAGTACAAATGATAATTTTGTTTTAAATGTGAAAACACAAGATGGAGTTAAAATTCCAGAATTAGTACTCAAGCTACCTCTTGACCGAGAAAAACAGGCAGTTCATAAGCTAATATTAACGGCAGCTGACGGAGGAAATCCAGTGCGCACGAGCACATGTGAAATCACTGTTGTGGTTTTGGATAATAATGACAATGCACCCGAATTTGAAAAGCCTTTTTATGAAACTGTTGTTGATGAAAACGAATCAACTCAGAAAGAAATAGTAGCAGTCAAGGCTACAGATTTAGATGAAGGGTTAAATGGAGAGATCGAGTATTTCTTTGCAGACCAAACACCAGATACAGAATTGTTTAATATTAACAAGCAAACCGGTGCAATAACAGTTAAAAAACAACTGGACCATGAAAAAGCAAGCTTACATAAATTTGATATAGTTGCAAAAGACAAAGGCAATCCTCAAATGGAGGGTCACTGCAGTGTAAAGATAAAAGTTAATGATGTGAATGACAACGCGCCTGATATAATAATTACTTCTCTCTCAAGTCCGATTCCTGAAAATTCCACAAATGGCACGGTCGTTTCATTAATTAGTACAAAGGATGCAGATTTAGGAGAGAATGGGAAAGTTAAACTTACGTTAGCGCCTGGACTACCGTTTAGATTTAGCCCTACATTATCTAATCATTACGCATTGGTTACCAACGGTCCTCTAGACAGAGAAAACTATCCTGAATATAACATTGAACTAAACGCAGTTGATGGTGGTTCGCCACCGCTGTTTAGTAGGAAAACAGTAAAAATCAGCATTTCAGATGTAAATGATAACCCTCCAATATTCACAGAAAAATCTTATACGGTTTATGCTAAAGAAAACAGCGCTCAAGATTCAATATTGTGCTCAGTCTCCGCACATGACCCAGATTTAGGCGAAAATGCAAAACTCTCCTACTCCGTTTTGGACTCTAAAGTTAAAGACGTGCCAGTGTCTTCTTACATCTATATAAATTCTGAAAATGGAAGTATATATAACTTGCAGACATTTGATTATGAGAAAATTAAAGTTTTAAACATCATAGTTCAGGCTAAAGATCATGGCTCTCCATCTCTGAGCAGCAACGCAACTGTCAATGTGTTTATTCTGGACCGGAACGATAATGCACCTGCTGTCATTTACCCGTCCTCATCTATGGGCTCGGTCTCTCATCAGAGGATGCCCCGTTCCGCTAAAGCAGGACATCTCGTTACTAAGGTAACGGCAGTGGACGCGGACTCGGGTCATAACGCCTGGCTGTTCTACAGGCTCGCGGAGGCCACGGACCCGTCTCTGTTCAGTGTGAATTTACATACGGGAGAGGTGAGGACTAAACGCGCTGTTTCAGAGCACGACGACTCCTCTCAGAGACTGGTCATAGAGATAAAGGATAATGGAGAACCAGTGCAGTCCACCACAGTCACAGTGGATATACTGATAGAGGACGGGTTTCATGAGCCCATATCAGACTATCGTTTAAAAACTACAGAAGACAACAAGAAAACTGGCAAAATTACGCTGTATTTGATCATCTCATTGGGAACAGTGTCAGTTTTGTGTTTATTGACCTTTTTCGCGTTGGTTGTAAAATGTGTTAAAAGCAGCATCGGAAGTTCAAGCTGCTGCATCAGACGAACTGATTCTGGATACAAAAACCCCAACAGAAACCTGCAGATCCAGCTCAACACTGACGGGCCCATTAAGTATGTGGAGGTTCTGGGAGGAGATATGATGTCTCAGAGTCAGTCCTTTGGCTCTTATCTCTCTCCAATGTCCGAATTCAGTGATCTCACTCTCATTAAGCCCAGCAGCACAACAAACTTTACAGACACGCTAAACACGCTTGATGCGTCATTACCAGACAGCGCGTGGACATTCGAGAGCCAACAGGTGAGACAAAAATTACGTTTGCTATATTCAGAGCTGTCGTATGTATCTAAGTACAAATATGTGTCCACACCACATTGTGATTTCGTGTTTACTTTTATTTTATTCAAGACAATATTTAGACAAAATAGAAGAGCCAACATGTGATCACGTGAAATGTTATCAGTTATGGACATTTTAATATCACTATAAAAAGATAATTATGCAAATACTGTGTTTTTATAGATTTATTTAATTTTTATATGAACATTATAATTTTTGATATCATTATATAGTAAAGGGGGTATTTTGCAAATGTAGGATTTTTATAATTTGTCCATAAATGAATAATTGTATTTTATTATTATGTAAAGTTATATTAGTTTTGGGCCCCCAATGCATCTATTAATTGTTTATAAGAGTAATTTAAAGAATACTGATTTTATTTCTTGGTTATGCAGTTTTTTTTTTTTTTTTTTTTTTTTTTTGCTTTGGATGTGCTTTATAAATTGAGCTATTTACTACATATATTCGATATGTGCTATGCTCTGCCTCTTTAAGACTGATGCATGTTGTGAGTGGAGAGCCTCATCCAATAGTAAGACCGTACTGTACAAAGGGATCTACTCCCTCCCCCTAACATAACGCTGAAAACCATTGCGCACAGACCAGGGACAAAATGAACTGTACTGGCAGCGGAATATATAACGGAATATAATTTGGACTGCTAAACGTTTTAAAATGTTGCATTATTCTTGTGAATGCTTAAAAGAGTAATATGCATGTCAGGATACTGGAACCAACGCATAGTTATTGTGTTTGGAAATGAGGACTCAAATACAAAGGAGAATTTTGTGCTGGCGGGCGCTGTGGCTGTTGTGTTTCGCCGTTTTGTGGAGTGATGCAGACGCGCAGCTCCGTTATACAATACCGGAGGAGCTAAAGGAGGGATCTGTTGTTGGAAATGTAGCTAAAGATCTCGGTTTGGATGTATCTGAGACATCTAATCGTAAATTACGGATAGCATCTGAGTCTGGTAAGCAATATTTCAGTGTAAATTTGAGGAATGGCGAGCTACTTGTGAATAACATTATAGACAGAGAAACATTGTGCGGACAAAGCGCGAGCTGTGTGTTACCATTACAAATCATCATCGAGGATCCACTGCAGTTTTATCGTGTAGAAGTAGAAATACAAGATATTAATGACAACTCTCCAATATTTTGGTCGGAAATAAACACAATTGATGTGCCAGAGTCAACCTTAACTGGTACAAGGTTTCGTTTAAAGCCTGCTCAAGATCCTGACGTTGGAACAAACTCGTTACGCACTTACGCGCTTAATAAAAATGAGCATTTCGCTTTGCACGTAAAAAACGAAAAGGATGGAACAAAAGTCCCTGAAATTGTTTTACAAAAAGCTGTCGACAGAGAGAAACAGTCTGTACATCATTTAATTTTGACAGGTATTGATGGGGGTGATCCAGCGAGATCAGGAACTACTCAGATTACTGTGAAAATTCTAGATGCAAATGATAATGCTCCTGTATTTGAACAAGACTTATATGAGGTTAAAGTGATGGAGAACACAGTACCAGATACAATGATACACACTGTAAAAGCTATTGACTTAGACGAAGGTATAAATGCTGAGCTTGAGTATTCTTTTGCGGCAGATACACCAGAAATAACTCAAGATGTATTTACTATTAATCCTGTGACAGGGGAATTAGTAGTTTCCAAGAATCTTGATTATGAAACCAGCACCTCATATAAAATTGACATACGCGCAAGAGACAAAGGAGCGCCTGTTATGGAAGGACATTGTAGAGTCCAGGTGAATGTTTTAGATGTGAATGATAATGCACCTGAGATTACCATCACATCCTCACCCAAACCTGTGCAAGAAGATGCGCCTGCTGGGACAATGGTAGCTTTAATAAATGTTAAAGATCTGGATTCCGGCGTAAATGCAAATGTAACACTTAGCATGTCATCAGACACTCCTTTTAAATTAAAGCCAACATTTGCAAACCATTACGCACTGGTAACAGATTCACAGTTAGATCGAGAAAAGTTTCCTAAATATGATATTGAGCTCAAAGCATCAGATTCTGGATCACCTCCACTGGTATCAAGCAAACTCATTACAGTTAATATACTAGATGTCAATGATAATCCTCCTGCTTTCTCTGAACGTGTGTACTCGGTTTACATAAAAGAAAACAGCGCTCCAGGATCGATATTAGCATCGGTGACAGCATCAGATCTAGATACAGGAGAAAATGCTAAAATTGTGTATTCAGTTCTGGATACTAATACTCGAGACGTACCTGTCTCTTCCTATGTATACATAAACGCAGAAAATGGCAGTATATTTAGCATGCACTCGTTTGATTATGAGAAAATAAAGGTCTTTCATATTATTGTGCTTGCCAAAGACCAAGGCTCCCAATCTCTGAGCAGCAACGCTACTGTTCATGTATTTATTCTGGACCAGAACGATAATGCACCTGCTGTCATTTACCCGTCCACATCTATGGGCTCGGTCTCTCATCAGAGGATGCCCCGTTCCGCTAAAACAGGACATCTTGTTACTAAGGTAACGGCAGTGGACGCGGACTCGGGTCATAACGCCTGGCTGTTCTACAGGCTCGCGGAGGCCACGGACGCGTCTCTGTTCAGTGTGAATTTACATACGGGAGAGGTGAGGACTAAACGCGCTGTTTCAGAGCACGACGACTCCTCTCAGAGACTGGTCATAGAGATCAAGGATAATGGAGAACCAGTGCAGTCCACCACAGTTACCGTGGATATACTGATAGAGGAAGGCGTTTATGAGCCCATCTCGGAATATAACATGAAAACTACAGAAAACAACAACAAAAAAAGTGGCAAAATCACTTTGTATTTGATCATCTCTTTGGGAACCGTATCAGTTTTATCTGTGTTGACATTGTTCACGTTAATTGTGAAATGCGTTAAAAGCAGCATCGGAAGTTCAAGCTGCTGCATCAGACGAACTGATTCTGGATACAAAAACCCCAACAGAAACCTGCAGATCCAGCTCAACACTGACGGGCCCATTAAGTATGTGGAGGTTCTGGGAGGAGATATGATGTCTCAGAGTCAGTCCTTTGGCTCTTATCTCTCTCCAATGTCTGAATTCAGTGATCTCACTCTCATTAAGCCCAGCAGCACCACAAACTTTACAGACACGCTAAACACGCTTGATGCGTCATTACCAGACAGCGCGTGGACGTTCGAGAGCCAACAGGTGAGCGTGTGAAATTTTGTATTTTACTTTAAATATTGTATATGCCATTACTGATGCCATTATTTGCAAATGCGAATTCGTATAACGACATTTTTTCAACATAGTATTACACAGGAAGTTATTTTAACCAAGGGAGTTATAGTTAAAGTAATATTTAAAAACCGCCTCCATTTCTTACATATTTAAACGTCTACATACAGTTTTGGAGCATCTCATTAAAGAATACTATTCGTAGAAACAATGATTTATATTTTGCAGTAGCTTATATTTTATACCTAACATGTACTTGTATTTGATTGTAAAACTAGTAATTGTGGAGAAAATTGTCGTTTCACAGGAGAGATATAAGCGCATTGTGTATTATTTGTATGGAACTAGAGCGTCACTTGGTCTGCTTCTTTAAGACTGATGCATGTTGTGAGTGGAGAGCGTTCATCCAATAGTGAGACCGCACCACACAAAGAGATCTACTCCCTCCCCCTAACATAACGCTGAAAACCATTACGCACAGACCTGGGACAAAATGAACAGCACTGGCTGCAGTGTACTCACTGACGGAATATAATTTGTAGCTCTTTAAATGAAAAAGCACACCCTTTTGTGAAAACGTAATGCATACGATGCATGTCAGGATACTGCAATTGACGATCATTTATGGTGTTTGGAAATGAAGACTCATATACAAAGGAGAATTTTGTGCTGGCGGGCGCTGTGGCTGTTGTGTTTCGCCGTTTTGTGGAGTGATGCAGACGCGCAGCTCCGTTATACAATACCGGAGGAGCTAAAGGAGGGATCTGTTGTTGGAAATGTAGCTAAAGATCTAGATTTGGATGTATCTGAGATTTCTAATCGTAAATTACGGATAGCATCTGAGTCTGGTAAGCAATATTTCAGTGTGAATTTGAGGAATGGCGAGCTACTTGTGAATGAATTAATAGACAGAGAAAAACTGTGCGGACAAAGTGCGAGATGTGTGTTACCATTACAAGTTATCATTGAGGATCCACTCCAGTTTTATCGTGTAGACGTGGATATACAAGATATTAACGATAATTCTCCGAGTTTCCTTTCAGACACTAAATTCATTGATGTATCAGAGACCACGCTAACCGGAGCGAGATTTCGTTTGGAGCCTGCGCAAGACGCAGATGTAGGATCAAACTCCTTGCGCACGTATGCTTTAAACAAAAATGATTATTTTATCTTGCAGGTTAAAAATGATAAAGACGGAACAAAAGTCCCAGAAATTGTTTTGCAGAAGGCACTTGATAGAGAAAAACAGTCTATAGAGCATCTCATTTTAATGGGAATTGATGGAGGTGATCCAGCAAGCTCGGGTACCACTCAGATTACGGTTAGAGTGTTGGACGTAAATGACAATGCACCTGTATTTGAACAAGATTTGTATGAAATTAAAGTGATGGAGAACGCCGCCCCAGGCACGATCATTCAGATAGTAAAAGCAATTGACTTAGACGATGGCTTAAACAGTGAAATTGAATATTCGTTAGGATCTGACACACCAGAAACACTGAAGAATTTATTTTCTATCAACTCGAATACTGGCGAATTAAAAATATCAAAGAGTCTTGACTATGAAATGAGCACCACATATAAAATTGACATACGCGCAAGAGACAAAGGAGGGCCTGTTATGGAAGGACATTGTAGAGTCCAGGTGAATGTTTTAGATGTGAATGATAATGCACCTGAGATCATCATCACATCCTCACCCAAACCTGTGCGAGAAGATGCGCCTGCTGGGACAATGGTAGCTTTAATAAACGTTAAAGATTTAGATTCGGGCATAAACGGGAACGTAACTCTTCTTATTTTATCTGATACTCCTTTTAAATTAAAGCCAACATTTGCAAACCATTACGCACTGGTAACAGATTCAAAATTAGATCGAGAAAAGTTTCCTAAATATGACATTGAGCTTAAAGCATCAGACTCTGGATCACCTCCACTGGTATCAAGCAAACTCATTACAGTTAATATACTAGATGTCAATGATAATCCTCCTGTTTTCTCTGAACGTGTGTACTCGGTTTACATTAAAGAAAACAGCGCTCCAGGATCGATATTAGCATCGGTGACAGCATCAGATCTAGATACAGGAGAAAATGCAAAAATTGTGTATTCAGTTATTGATACTAATACTCGAGACGTACCTGTCTCTTCCTATGTATACATAAACGCAGAAAATGGCAGTATATTTAGCATGCACTCGTTTGATTACGAGAAAATAAAGGTCTTTCATGTTATTGTGCTTGCCAAAGATCAAGGCTCCCAATCTCTGAGCAGCAACGCTACTGTTCATGTATTTATTCTGGACCAGAACGATAATGCACCTGCTGTCATTTACCCGTCCACATCCATGGGCTCGGTCTCTAATCAGAGGATGCCCCGTTCTGCTAAAGCAGGACATCTCGTTACTAAGGTAACGGCAGTGGACGCGGACTCGGGTCATAACGCCTGGCTGTTCTACAGGCTCGCGGAGGCCACGGACGCGTCTCTGTTCAGTGTGAATTTGCATACGGGAGAGGTGAGGACTAAACGCGCTGTTTCAGAGCACGATGACTCCTCTCAGAGACTGGTCATAGAGATCAAGGATAATGGAGAACCAGTGCAGTCCACCACAGTTACCGTGGATATACTGATAGAGGAAGGCGTTTATGAGCCCATCTCGGAATATAACATGAAAACTACAGAAAACAACAACAAAAAAAGTGGCAAAATCACTTTGTATTTGATCATCTCTTTGGGAACCGTATCAGTTTTATCTGTGTTGACATTGTTCACGTTAATTGTGAAATGCGTTAAAAGCAGCATCGGAAGTTCAAGCTGCTGCATCAGACGAACTGATTCTGGATACAAAAACCCCAACAGAAACCTGCAGATCCAGCTCAACACTGACGGGCCCATTAAGTATGTGGAGGTTCTGGGAGGAGATATGATGTCTCAGAGTCAGTCCTTTGGCTCTTATCTCTCTCCAATGTCCGAATTCAGTGATCTCACCCTCATTAAGCCCAGCAGCACCACAAACTTTACAGACACGCTGAACACGCTTGATGCGTCATTACCAGACAGCGCGTGGACGTTCGAGAGCCAACAGGTGAGACAAAAAAAATATATATATACAAGATGTAATCTTTTGTGCAGGTGTTTTGCCATTTGCGAGGATCAGTTATATGACACGAAATTTAAGGCTCTCCAGTGTTGTGAGTGTAAGCGTGGATGTGTCGGTGCAATGGCATAGTGATAACATTAGTCTGTTTTTAAAAAGAAGAGACGCAAACAGCAAATTCATTTTCAGCACCACAATTCTGGACAGCGAACTCTGTCTTTGTGCCGGGGATATGGTGTAGAAAAAGTTGTCGCATAAATTGTTAGCACTTGAAAAAAAAAAGTTGAGTTGAACGTAAAACTTTGAAATTCACAACATTGTAAAAATGTTTGTTTAATTAGAAGCTAAAAAAATTGTATATGATTCGTATTATTCACAATATTATTCTAATGAAAAAGTTAAAGAACAACGTATGAAGATAACTGACAATAAATTTACAGGGATACTCAGAAGTGAACGTTGTATATTATAAATTGTATATGTAAATTTTCTTGTTCATGAAGGTTTTGTAAAATTAGAAGTTTAAACTTTAAAATAAAACGGCGAATTACAACTCAAAGGACAGTGTACTGGCACATAAAAATGGGCCTGTGTGTCTTTAAGAGACAGAGTGTAAAAAGAGAGCTCTGCACCAATCATATAATAGAACGCATGAAGTGATCCACTGCATCCCCCAGTCAGAGCAGCAGAACAATGAAGAGAGCTGAAGAGAGAGGGAGGTAGCTTCGCCAGCTGCTATGAAGACGATTACAATAGAACGTGCACCTTCAGGAAATTATATTTTCTCATAATGAAGAGTCATTTCACGTGAAATCGGTCATAAAAGAGGAATATGTTCACGGAATGGGAAAATATATTGAGAAAATGGAAATCAGATGGAATGGAAGATCAAAACGGGCTGCGCTTTGGCTGCTGAGTGTTTTTCTTATGTGGAGTACAGTCGGGGCACTGACTCGCTATACTATACCAGAGGAACTACAAGAGGGGTCGGTGGTTGGAAACATCGCCAAGGATCTTGGTTTTGTTGTCTCTGATATCGCAAATCGGAATTTACGGGTAGTGTCTGAGAACAGCGGGCAGTATTTCAGCGTTGGTTCAGAAAGGGGTGAGTTGGTTGTGAACAGCAGAATTGACAGAGAAAGTCTATGTCCTCAGAGCGCTAGCTGCGTTGTACCATTACAAGTTATAATAGAAAACCCGTTACAACTGCACAGAGTCGAGATAGAAATACAAGATATTAATGATAACGCACCAATATTTCAAACATCAGAAGGTGTTTTGGAAATCGCTGAATCTATCACACTGGGAGATCGATTTCCGCTTGAGAGTGCCGAGGATTTGGATGTTGGGAAAAATAGCTTAAAATCATATGTTTTGAGTAATGACGAATGTTTTCGATTAAATGTAAAAACACTTGCGGACGGAAGAAAAGTACCAGAGCTTGTGATCGATAAACCACTTGACAGAGAGAAAAAATCTGCCCATAAACTAATTTTAACTGCCGTAGATGGCGGCGATCCTGCAAAAACTGGTACTACTGTAATACAAATCAATGTTCTTGATAGTAATGACAATGCTCCAAAATTTGACTTGCCAATGTACAAATCATCCCTACGGGAAGCTGCTCCTGTCGGTTCAACTGTGATAACAATAAAAGCCACTGATCTAGATGAAGGTGACAATGGCGAGTTACAATATTTTCTAGGCGTCCATACACCCGAGCCTGTGAGAAAAATGTTTGCCTTGAAACCGGACACGGGAGAAATTATAGTTTTAGGAAACATCGACTACGAATCTAATAAATTATACAGATTCGATGTTAGTGCTAAAGACAAAGGGAATCCAGAACTAGTGGGTCATTCATCGGTGCAAATAGACATAATTGATGAAAATGACAACCCTCCAGAGATAATTTTAACATCGTCACCCAGCCCTGTCCCTGAAAATGCCTCTGTCGGAACTGTTGTGGCTTTAATTAATGTCAAGGATTTAGATTCGGGTGTTAATGGTCGGGTAAGCATAAATATATCACCAGGGTTTCCATTTACACTGAAACCGTCCTTTGAAAATCATTATTCACTGGTAACAGACTCATCTTTAGATCGTGAGATTTATGCAGAATACAATATATTATTAGTAGCGACCGACTCTGGTGTGCCATCATTAAAAACAGAGAAGACTATAAATGTAAAAGTGCTTGACGTGAATGATAATCCTCCGTCGTTCTCGCAGACCTCATACAATGTTTATGTACAAGAAAATAACTTAGCGGGTGTTTCGTTGTTTTCTGTATCAGCAACTGATAATGATCAAGATAAAAACGCTCTTCTCACGTATTCAATTTTGGATTTAGGTTCAAACCAAGTGCCAGCATCATCTTATTTTTATATTAACTCAGAGAACGGAACTATTTACAGCATGAGCTCATTTGATTATGAGAAAATGAAACTAATCAGCATTGTAGTGCAGGCTAAAGATCAAGGCTCTCCATCTCTGAGCAGCAACGCAACTGTTCACGTGTTTATTCTGGACCGGAACGATAATGCACCTGCTGTCATTTACCCGTCCACATCTATGGGCTCGGTCTCTCATCAGAGGATGCCCCGTTCCGCTAAAGCAGGACATCTCGTTACTAAGGTAACAGCAGTGGACGCGGACTCGGGTCATAACGCCTGGCTGTTCTACAGGCTCGCGGAGGCCACGGACGCGTCTCTGTTCAGTGTGAATTTACATACGGGAGAGGTGAGGACTAAACGCGCTGTTTCAGAGCACGATGACTCCTCTCAGAGACTGGTCTTAGAGATAAAGGATAATGGAGAACCGATCCAGTCCACCACAGTCACAGTGGATATACTAATAGAGGACGGGTTTCATGAGCCCATATCAGACTACAGAGAGAAAACTATTGAGCCAAGTAAGAAAACTGGCAAAATTACACTATACCTCATCATCTCATTGGCTTCCGTGTCTTTGTTGTGTCTTATGACGTTTTTCATCTTACTGGTGAAATGTGCGCGTGGCAGTAGAGGCGGCTCAAGTTGCTGTATCAGGAGGACAAATTCTGAATACAAAAACCCCAACAGAAACCTGCAGATCCAGCTCAACACTGACGGGCCCATTAAGTATGTGGAGGTTCTTGGAGGAGATATGATGTCTCAGAGTCAATCCTTTGGCTCTTATCTCTCTCCAATGTCCGAATTTAGTGATCTCACCCTCATTAAGCCCAGCAGCACCACAAACTTTACAGACACGCTAAACACGCTTGATGCGTCATTACCAGACAGCGCGTGGACGTTTGAGAGCCAACAGGTGAGACAAACGTTATGTTCACTATATTGAGAGCTGTCGTTTATATCTGAATGCAAATGTGTCCTCGCCACATTGTGTTTTTGCCTTCACATACATTTTTATTCTACACATTCTATCTAGAAAAGGCGCTTGTGATTTTGTGTCGGCTATAAGCGAGCTGGGAACGAATTTCAGAACCACATCTGTGGACAGCGACAACGAACATTGATAGAATGTATTTTACTTACACCAACTGGCTCATTTATTTATTTATTTATTTATTTATTTATTTATTTATTTATTTATTTATTTATTTATTTGTTTGTTTATATGTTGATTTATTTATTGCTACAACTAGTCATTTTAGAATCATAATAGAACATTATTTATTAAATCATAATTTGTTTTACGTTATACTTACTATGTTTTATTGCAGTAGTTTATGCAGTAACCTTCAGCATAAACGTTTATAAAACGTTAAAAAAATTATGCTAAAAGAAATTGTCTGTTTAAAGCGTTTGGTAAAATGTCAGTTACAGTATGCAGTATCTGGGTTAAAAGGAAGTGTGTTCGCCTTTAAGAGAGACTCTTTTCTCTATTGGTCAGCACTGCACTGAGCTCAGCGCCAATGAGGTACGAGACCATACAAAGAGATCTACTCCCTCCCCTTAGCAGGAACGGGCTGTAATGACTGTTAGGAGCTGTATGTGAGGATACACACGGGGTTATGACGCTGATCACCACAAAACCGACTGCTCGATCAAAATGGATTTGCTATTATTTTTATTACAAAAAATGACGTTATTGATTGGATAAAGGCGAAGTACTTACTGATGGAAAGGTTGAAAGCATCGTGGAAATGAGAAGCATGCGACCGTGGAAACAGACAGCGCTTTGGCTGTTGTTTTTTTCTGTATTATGGAGTACAACCGGAGCTCAGATTCGCTATACTATACCAGAGGAACTGAAGGAAGGATCTGTTGTTGGAAACATTGCAAAGGACATTGGGCTGGATATTGTACACATCGCTAATCGTAAGTTACGGATAGCCTCTGACTCTGGTACGCAGTTTTTCAGTGTGGATACAAGGAGCGGTGAACTGATAGTGAATGGCAGAATAGACAGAGAGGCGCTCTGCGGACAAAGCGACAGTTGTTTGATGCCACTACAATTAATAATAGAGGATCCATTGCAGTTATATCGTGTTAATATAGAAATACAAGATATAAATGACAATGCACCGAATTTTCACACAAAAGATAATGTTTTGAAAATAGCCGAATCTGTTGCCGTGGGCGCAAAATTTCCATTTGAAAGCGCCGAGGATTTAGATGTCGGTAGCAATAGTCTCAAATCATATGCTTTGAGTAATAATGGCTTCTTTCGATTAAATGTGAAAACAGTTGAAGATGGTAAAAAGGTGCCAGAGCTAATAGTTGATAAACCACTTGATCGAGAGAAGCAGTCAGTACATAAGCTCATTTTAACAGCATTAGACGGTGGCGATCCCGTGAAATCTGGAACTATTGTGATACAAGTAATTGTTCAAGATACCAATGACAATGAACCGAAGTTTGAACATTCGCAGTATAAAGCATCTGTGCTGGAAAGTACAAAACCTGGTTCAAGCGTTTTAACTGTAAAAGCCACAGATTTAGATGAAGGTCTAAATGGCGAAATACAATATTTCTTCGGTGCACATACACCAGATGCTGTGAAGAAATGTTTTAATATCAACACTGACACCGGAGATATCACAGTGATTGGAATACTAGATTACGAAGTAACAAAATTATACACATTTGATGTATGCGCTAAAGACAAAGGGAGCCCAGAACAGGAGGGCCATTCATCAGTGAGGCTTCACATCATTGATGAGAACGACAATATTCCAGAAATCATTTTGACATCTTTACCCAGTCCAGTGTCAGAGAATGCAACAGTCGGTACAGTTGTAGCTTTAATAAACGTGAAAGACTTGGATTCAGGTGATAATGGCAAAGTAAACCTTACCATCTCCAGTCGTTTTCCATTTAAACTAAAACCAGCCTTTGACAATCATTATTCATTGGTAACTGACTCACTTTTAGACCGTGAAGCTAAGGCGGAATATGAAATACAATTAGTAGCTACAGACTCTGGTTCGCCACCTTTAAAATCTACAAAAACTGTAAATGTAAGATTGCTTGATGTAAATGACAACCCTCCATTATTCTCACAGCCATCGTATACAGTGTACATAAAGGAAAATAGTCTGCCAGGCGCTTCATTGTTCTCTATATCTGCGACTGATATTGACAAAGACAGGAATGCAATGCTCAGTTACTCAGTTCTCGATTTAAGTTCAAGTCAGATTCCAGCATCATCTTATTTTTATATTAACTCAGAGAACGGAACTATTTACAGCATGAGTTCATTTGATTATGAGAAAATGAAACTAATCAGCATTGTAGTGCAGGCTAAAGATCAAGGCTCTCCATTTCTGAGCAGCAACGCAACTGTTCACGTGTTTATTCTGGACCAGAACGATAATGCACCTGCTGTTATTTACCCGTCCACATCTATGGGCTCGGTCTCTCATCAGAGGATGCCCCGTTCTGCTAAAACAGGACATCTCGTTACTAAGGTAACAGCAGTGGACGCGGACTCGGGTCATAACGCCTGGCTGTTCTACAGGCTCGCGGAGGCCACGGACGCGTCTCTGTTTAGTGTGAATTTACATACGGGAGAGGTGAGGACTAAACGCGCTGTTTCAGAGCACGATGACTCCTCTCAGAGACTGGTCTTAGAGATAAAGGATAATGGAGAACCGATCCAGTCAACCACAGTCACAGTGGATATACTGATAGAGGACGGGTTTCATGAGCCCATATCAGACTACAGAGAGAAAACTATTGAGCCAAACAGGAAGAGTGGCAAAATTACTTTATATCTGATCATTTCTTTGGCTTCTGTGTCTTTGTTGTGTCTGATGACGTTTTTCATCTTACTGGTGAAATGTGCGCGTGGCAGTAGAGGCGGCTCAAGCTGCTGTATCAGGAGGACAAATTCTGATTACAAAAACCCTAACAGAAACCTGCAGATCCAGCTCAACACTGACGGGCCCATTAAGTATGTGGAGGTTCTGGGAGGAGATATGATGTCTCAGAGTCAATCCTTTGGCTCTTATCTCTCTCCAATGTCCGAATTCAGTGATCTCACCCTCATTAAGCCCAGCAGCACCACAAACTTTACAGACACGCTAAACACGCTTGATGCGTCATTACCAGACAGCGCGTGGACATTCGAGAGCCAACAGGTGAGACAAACTTAATTGTAAACAAATTCTTGGTCATAAATGCAATAGCCCTATCATTTGCAACTGTGATAGAGCGAAGAGTCTTTCAGCACATTGGACAGCTCACGTGCCTACTTACAATCTACAACTTATATAAACTGCTAATGTCTTGACTTAAGCTGATTCACAAATCCGCAAGTTTGAATAAAATTGTATAAAACACACTAACTTATCATTCAATTCGGTGTTTTTAAAACATTACATTTTTTCAAATAAATTCGTCCTTTTTTTTCTCTCTCTCTTTTTTAATGCTAAATTCAAAAATGTTTAATGTCTTTGACAAGAACTCGGTTTAACCGTTTGTTTGCACTATATTTGTGATATAAAAACTCCCGGAGATAGGAACGAAAGTTTTAGGCAACATTCAGCACTTTGGACTGGACAGTCCCCGCTAAGAGATTATGATATACAATTTTAAAATGTGACAGAGAGCGTGCTCTCAGAGAACGGTGGAAACTGATGAGCATTTCTTTCTGCATTGAGCAGTACCACATTACATCCACCGATTTCTACAATGTCCAAATGATTACACCAAATTTAATTTCTATAACATACTGTATACACAAAATATAATGCAAAAATATTCAAACCAATAAAGTCAAAGCAATAAAGCTTTAAAAAACTTATTTTTTGGAGGCAATGGGAAAAAAGTTTCTTTGACCAAGATAAATACTAACAAGCAAAAAAAAAAAAACCTAAATTTGAAAACGCTCAATAAAAGACGAAATTATTTGCTGTAATAATGATTTCTCAGGTCTCATTTCCACACCTTTACTGTGTCTTAATACTCCATTATTTTAATGTAACTTTGAGAGCAGAAATACTGCTTGTCTAAAGAGCTAAACGTTACCCGGAGAATAGCTGCACAATTTAGAGCACAGTTCTCCACTAGATGCCGTTAAACACACCCCAGAAAGCTGGTTATGCCTTTAGAACTATGTGGATGATTGTGTTGGATGGCTGAGTGTTGAGCTGTGCACCAATAGCTATTGAGACCGTACAAAGGGATCTACTCCCTCCCCCTGCCAGAGCAGGAGTACAATGATGAGAGCTGTAGAGCGAGAGGCAACACGAGCGGTTTATGAGGCTGTGATCCCCGCAAAGAGAATGGGCTGAGCAGACGTTTATCTGAGAATGGAGATTAACATTTCAGTTTTCTTTTCTGTGGATTTAAAATGAAAATTTGTTGATGGGAATAAAAACGTGACAAAGAAATGAAGAGGATCGGGAAATGGGAATTAGCAGCGCTATGGCTGTACGCTCTCTCTCTATTGTGGAGTACAGTTGGAGCTCAGATTCGCTACACAATACCAGAAGAGTTAAAGGAAGGATCTATTGTTGGGAATATCGCCAAGGATCTTGGTTTTGACATCTCAGATATCGCCGAGCGTAAGTTACGGATAGCATCTGAGTCGAATAGACAATATTTCAGTGTGGATTCAGGGAAGGGGGATCTGGTAGTAAATGGAAGAATAGACAGAGAGACACTCTGTGGACAAAGCGCCAGTTGTCTGATGCCACTGCAAATCGTTATAGAGAATCCTTTACAGTTGCATAGAGTAGAAATAGAAATACAAGACATAAATGACAATCCACCAACTTTCCATACGAAAGATGTTATATTAAAAATATCTGAACTGGTTGCTCCAGGGACACGATTTTCTCTTGAAAGTGCCGAAGACCTCGACGTCAGCAGTAATAGCTTAAAGACGTACACATTGAACAATAACGATTTCTTCCGTCTTAATGTAAAAACACTTAAAAACGGAAGAAAGGTACCAGAACTAGTCGTTGAAAAAGCTTTAGACAGAGAGAAACAATCTATTCATGAATTAATTTTAACAGCGTTAGATGGTGGTAATCCGGTAAAATCTGGTACATCTTTATTGCAAATAATAGTTCAAGATATAAACGACAACGAACCAAAATTTGAGGTAGCTTCATACAAAGCGTCTGTTGTAGAAAAAGCAACTTTTGATTTAAGTGTGCTTAAAATAAAAGCCACGGACCCGGATGAAGGTCTAAATGGGGAAATAGAGTATTTGTTTGCTGCACACACGCCTGAATCTGTAAGAAATGTATTTAGAGTGAACGTTGAAACTGGCGAAATAAAAGTCATTGGGGGACTAGATTACGAGACTAAAAAATCATATACGTTTGATGTCTGCGCTAAAGACAAAGGGAATCCGGAGCTCGAGGGACAATCTTCAGTTCAGATAGATATCATAGATGAGAATGACAACCCTCCAGAGATTATATTAACATCCTTACCGAGCCCTGTGCCTGAAAATGCGACAGTGGGAACTGTGGTGGCTCTGATTAATGTCAAAGATTTGGACTCAGGAAATAATGGAAAGGTTGAACTAACGATTTCTACAGGCGCTCCATTCAAAATAATAACATCTTTCGAAAACCACTACTCGTTGATAACTGATTCATTTTTAGACCGTGAGCTTAATTCTGAATATAATATTGAAATACTGGCCAGGGATTTGGGTGTTCCATCTTTAATAACTACAAAGGCAGTAAATGTTAAAGTGCTTGACGTCAATGACAACTCTCCAGTATTTTCACAGTCCTCGTATAATGTTTATATAAACGAAAATAATCTGGCAGGGTTTTCGTTGTTTTCTGTATCTGCGACGGATAGTGACCAAGACAAGAATGCTATGCTCACTTATTCCGTTTTGGATTTAAGTCCAAATCACGTTCCAGCATCATCTTATTTTTATATTAACTCTGAGAACGGAACTATTTACAGCATGAGTTCATTTGATTATGAGAAAATGAAACTAATCAGCATTGTAGTGCAGGCTAAAGATCAAGGCTCTCCATCTTTGAGCAGCAACGCAACTGTTCACGTGTTTATTCTGGACCAGAACGATAATGCACCTGCTGTCATTTACCCATCCACATCCATGGGCTCAGTCTCTCACCAGAGAATGCCCCGTTTTGCAAAAGCAGGGCATCTCGTTACTAAAGTAACAGCAGTGGACGCGGACTCGGGTCATAACGCCTGGCTGTTCTACAGGCTCGCGGAGGCCACGGACGCGTCTCTGTTTAGCGTGAATTTACATACGGGAGAAGTGAGGACTAAACGCGCTGTTTCAGAGCACGATGACTCCTCTCAGAGACTGGTCTTAGAGATAAAGGATAATGGAGATCCGATCCAGTCCACCACAGTCACAGTGGATATACTAATAGAGGACGGGTTTCATGAGCCCGTCTCAGACTACAGAGAGAAAACTAATGAGCCAAGTAAGAAAACTGGCAAAATTACACTATACCTTATTATCTCTTTGGCTTCCGTGTCTTTGTTGTGTCTCATGACGTTTTTCATCTTACTGGTGAAATGTGCGCGTGGCAGTAGAGGCGGCACAAGCTGCTGTATCAGGAGGACAAATTCTGATTACAAAAACCCCAACAGAAACCTGCAGATCCAGCTCAACACTGACGGGCCCATTAAGTATGTGGAGGTTCTGGGAGGAGATATGATGTCTCAGAGTCAGTCCTTTGGCTCTTATCTCTCTCCAATGTCCGAATTCAGTGATCTCACTCTCATTAAGCCCAGCAGCACCACAAACTTTACAGACACGCTAAACACGCTTGATGCGTCATTACCAGACAGCGCGTGGACGTTTGAGAGCCAACAGGTGAGACAAACGCAGATTTAAACTTTTTTTTCATGAATGCAATTTGATTTATTTCAGGAAATACTATGTTGTTCAGCACATTGAACTGCACCACATTAAGTTATTATAGCATTTTTTAAAACAGTGTATAAATACCCTAGCCTAAAACCTTTAAAAGTGACATTGTGGAGTCGTTATTTTAAAGTAAAAGTTTTTATTTATTTTTTATTTATAAAAATAAACAAAAATTTACGGGTTTTAAAAAAGTAAAAGTATGTAAAACTGCATTTACAATTTATATATATATATATATATATATATATATATATATATATATATATATATATATATATATATATATATATATAATTTATTTATTTATTTATTATTATTATTGACGTTCATAAAAACCCTTGTAGTAGACTTACTTGTTTGCATCATATGTTAAGCTTCTGGGGGAAAAAACGAAAGTTTTGGGCTCCGTTCAGCACCCTGAATTGGAAAGCTCCTGTAACGAACTGATGTAGTTTGAGAATACGATAAGGGGAGAAAAAGACATTAAATTAAAAGGAAAAGGAAAAGTACACTCACAAACAAAAACACACGCGCGTGCACACACACACAGTGTGACACTGCATTTGTTCTTCATATGTCCAGCCAAAAGGTGTACGTAAAAATGTCAACAATTTTAGTGAAACACGAAAATATTTGCGGACAATGCTTTCCCATTAAATACCCCAGCTTATTCATACACTATTGTGGTTGCTTTTTTTGTGGTTTAATTTTTATATTCTGTTGTTTTAATCCAATTTTGCATACAAAAACATTTGCTTAAAAAGCTAATACGTTGTTTGTACTGAAACTATCCGAACTGAAGTTTTAAAACACAGTTCTCCACCAGGTGCCGTGACATGCACCTTAGAAAGCTTGTTATGCCCTAAAGAAGCAGAAAATACTTTTATTGGATGACTGTGCTGAGCAGTGCACCAATGGTGCTTCAGACCGTACAAAGGGATCTACTCCCTCCCCCTGTCAGAGCAGGAGTACAATGAGAGCTGTAGAGCGAGAGGCAACACGAGCCGTTTATGAGGCTGATCACCACAGCAAGAATGGGCTGAAGAGACGTTTATCTGAGAAGAGAAATTAACATTTCAATATTCTTTTCCGTGGATGTAAAACGAAGATTTGTTGGTGAGGATAACGAACGAGGAGGAGAAATGAGGAAGATCGGAAAATGGAAATGGGCAGCGTTTTGGCTGTTTGCTTTCTCTCTATTGTGGAGTACAATTGGAGCACAGATTCGCTACACAATACCTGAAGAGTTAAAGGAAGGATCTGTCGTTGGAAATATCGCCAAGGATCTTGGTTTTGACATCTCAGATATCGCCGAGCGTAAGTTACGGATAGCATCTGAGTCGAATAGACAGTATTTTAGCGTGGATTCGGGTAAGGGTGATCTAGTAGTTAATGGCAGAATAGACAGAGAGACACTCTGTGGACAAAGCGCCAGTTGTCTGATGCCACTGCAAATCGTTATAGAGAATCCTTTACAGTTGCATAAAGTTGAAATAGATGTACTGGATATAAATGACAATGCGCCAAGCTTTCACAATAAAAATGGGATATTAAACATTTCCGAATTAACTGCTCCAGGCGCACGATTTACCCTTGAAATGGCCGATGACCTGGATGTTGGTAGCAATAGCCTGAAAACCTATTCATTGAGCAGCAACAACTTCTTCCGTCTAAATTTAAAAACTATTAAAAACGGTGGCCAGGTGCCAGAATTAGTTCTTGATAAACCTCTAGACAGAGAGAAACAGGCAGTTCATAAGCTAATACTAACAGCCGTCGATGGTGGTAATCCAGTAAAATCAGGCACATCCATACTACAAGTAATTGTTCAGGATTTTAATGACAACGAACCAAAATTTGAAGTTGTTTCATACAAAGCATCTGTATTAGAAAGCGCCATTATTGGTTCAAGCGTGCTTAAAATAAAAGCTTCTGATTTAGATGAAGGTCTGAACTGTGAAATCAAGTACCTTTTTAGTGCTCACACACCTGAACTTGTAAGAAATGTTTTTAGTTTGAACGCCGAAACTGGCGAAATCACAGTTACTGGAACATTAGACTACGAGACTAAAAAATCATATGCATTTGATGTCTGTGCTAAAGACAAAGGGAATCCGGAACTCGAGGGACAGTCATCGGTTCAGATAGATATAATAGATGAGAATGACAACCCTCCAGAGATTATATTAACATCCTTACCGAGCCCAGTGCCTGAAAATGCCACGGTGGGAACTGTGGTGGCTCTGATTAATGTCAAAGATTTGGACTCTGGTAATAATGGCAAAATAGAGCTAACTGTCTCTCCGAATGTTCCCTTTAAATTAAAGCCAGCATTTGATAGCCATTATACACTGGTAACTGACGGGGCCTTAGACCGTGAGTTTAATTCAGAATACAATGTAGAAATACTGGCCATGGATTCCGGTGTTCCGCCCTTAAAAACTGTGAAGAGTGTAAACGTAAAGTTACTTGACGTAAATGACAACCATCCGCTGTTCTCACAGTCTTCATATAACGTTTACATAAACGAAAATAATCAAGCAGGGACTTCGTTATTTTCTGTATCTGCTTCTGATTTTGATCTAGGTAAAAATGCTCAACTCACATACTCAATTTCGGATTTAAGCTCAAATGAAGTACCATCATCATCATCTTATTTTTATATCAATTCTGAGAACGGAACAATATACAGCATGAGCTCATTTGATTATGAAAAAATTAAACTACTCAACATTGTAGTGCAGGTTAAAGATCAAGGGTCTCCATCTTTGAGCAGCAACGCAACTGTTCATGTGTTTATTCTGGACCGGAACGATAATGCACCTGCTGTCATTTACCCGTCCACATCTATGGGCTCGGTCTCTCATCAGAGGATGCCCCGTTCCGCTAAAGCAGGACATCTCGTTACTAAGGTAACAGCAGTGGACGCGGACTCGGGTCATAACGCCTGGTTGTTCTACAGGCTCGCGGAGGCCACGGACGCGTCTCTGTTCAGTGTGAATTTACATACGGGAGAGGTGAGGACCAAACGCGCTGTTTCAGAGCACGATGACTCCTCTCAGAGACTGGTCTTAGAGATAAAGGATAATGGAGAACCGATCCAGTCCACCACAGTCACAGTGGATATACTAATAGAGGACGGGTTTCATGAGCCCATATCAGACTACAGAGAGAAAACTATTGAGCCAAACAGGAAAACTGGCAGAATTACTCTTTACCTCATCATCTCATTGGCTTCCGTGTCTTTGTTGTGTCTTATGACGTTTTTCATCTTACTGGTGAAATGTGCGCGTGGCAGTAGAGGCGGCACAGGCTGCTGTATCAGGAGGACAAATTCTGAATACAAAAACCCCAACAGAAACCTGCAGATCCAGCTCAACACTGACGGGCCCATTAAGTATGTGGAGGTTCTGGGAGGAGATATGATGTCTCAGAGTCAGTCCTTTGGCTCTTATCTCTCTCCAATGTCAGAATTCAGTGATCTCACCCTCATTAAGCCCAGCAGCACCACAAACTTTACAGACACGCTAAACACGCTTGATGCGTCATTACCAGACAGCGCGTGGACGTTCGAGAGCCAACAGGTGAGACAAACGTATAAAAAAAGTAGTTCATATATAGGCTACACTGTGCATTGTTTACAGTTACAGGTAACAATGCTAACAGTAACAATGACCCTACTTCAGCACCATGGACAGCTTACCGCAGTTTATTCTTAGAAACGGTGCGTAATTTTATTCTAGTTTTTCTCTTTCTTTTTAGTTTTAAGGTTTAGATACTGTTGGATCTTGGTATTATTTAGGCCTGGAGATGATGACCATATTGTAATAGAGCACACGTTTGTTAGCGTGTCTGCGCATATAAAAAAGTTGTAAACTTCAGCACCTATGGAAAGCGAGAAGCATCAGCGGCATTTTTATATATAACAATAACACACACACACACATTATATATATATATATATATATATATATATATATATATATATATATATATATTTTTTTTTTTTTTTTTTTTTTTTTTTTTTTTTTTTTTTGAGAAAAAAAGAAAGAAAGAAAGAAAGAAAGAAAGAAAGAAAGAAAGAAAGAAAAAAGAAAGAAAGAAAGAAAGAAAGAAAGAAAGAAAAGAGTTTTGGCTTTGGTGTACTTAACTGTGCAATCAAACCCCTTTAATTTATTATTTTTCCTATAACTACAAATTTGACTTAAACTTACTCGTTCGTAAACTTATACTCCCTTGCTTTAGCAATCTATCCGTTTTACATGTTATTTTGAAAAGTCTTAGAAATGTACTTGGTTGTTTGTTGTTGTTGCATTTAGTGCACATTATAACATGAACAGGTATTTGTGATTGTCTCTTGTGGAGTGATATACGCTACTTCTACCACTGTACACTACTATTGTAAATTTCCTCAATACAGCATTTTAATAACACAAAAAAATTATATTCGACTCTTATTTGTTAAAATACTCCTTATTTGTATCTTAACCGTAATTATCATTATATGCCGTTTCCTTACAGAAACGTTTAATAGAAGTCTTAAAGAAATAAAACTGAAACATAGTATAGCAGTTCTCCACTAGATGCCGTGACACACACCACAGAGGTCTTATGCCCAAAGAGTAAAGCGTCTATTGGATGACCGAGTGTTGAGCTGTTTACCAATGGTGCTTCATACTGTAAAAAGGATCTACTCCCTCCCCCTGCCAGAGGAGGAGTACAACGATGAGAGCTGTAGAGCTAGAGGAGAAGCACTCTATGTTGATCCCCCACAATAAGGATGGGTTAAACACACACTTACTTGAAAATGAAGATAATCGCTGTGTTTTTCGGTGGATATAAAATGACGAGTTGAGGGGAATATCAAGCGCAACAGAAAAATGAAAAACAAAAAGATCGGGGAGAGGAAATGGGCAGCGTTTTGGCTGTTCGCTTTCTCTCTATTGTGGAGTACAATTGGAGCACAGATTCGCTACACAATACCAGAAGAGTTAAAGGAAGGATCTGTCGTTGGAAATATCGCCAAGGATCTTGGTTTTGACATCTCAGATATCGCCGAGCGTAAGTTACGGATAGCATCTGAGTCGAATAGACAGTATTTTAGCGTGGATTTAGGCAAGGGTGATCTGCTAGTTAATGGAAGAATAGACAGAGAGACACTCTGTGGACAAAGCTCTGGATGTCTTATGTCAATACAAATTGTTATTGAGAATCCTTTACAAATGCATAGCGTAGAAATAGAAATCCAAGACATAAATGATAATGCACCAAATTTCCATACTAAAGATGCCACATTAAAAATATCTGAATTAATTGCTCCAGGAACACGATTTATCCTTGAGAGTGCCGAGGACCTCGATGTTGGCAGCAATAGCTTAAAGACATATTCTCTAAGCAATAACAATTATTTCCGCCTTAATGTAAAAAATCTAAAAGATGGAAGAATAGGACCAGAGCTTGTTGTTGAAAAACCTTTAGACAGAGAGAAACAGTCTATGCACAAGTTAATATTGACAGCACTGGATGGTGGTAATCCAGTGAAATCTGGCACGTCCGTTTTGCAAATAGCTGTTCAAGATATCAATGACAACGAACCAAAATTTGAATTGTCCGCATACAAAGCATCTATTTTAGAAACAGCAATTACTGGTTCAAATGTTCTCAAAATAAAAGCGACCGATCTAGATGAAGGTCTAAACGGTGAAATACAGTACCTATTAAGTGCTCACACGCCTGAATTTGTAAGAAATGTTTTTAGTGTAAACGCCGATACTGGCGAAATCACAGTTACTGGAACATTAGACTACGAGACAAAAAAATCATATGCATTTGATGTCTGTGCTAAAGACAAAGGGAATCCGGAGCTCGAGGGACAGTCGTCGGTTCAGATAGATATAATAGATGAGAATGACAACGCTCCAGAAATTATATTAACATCTTTACCGAGCCCAGTGCCCGAAAATGCGACGGTGGGAACTGTTGTGGCTCTGATTACCGTCAAAGATTTGGACTCTGGTGACAATGGAAAGGTTGATCTAATTGTTTCTCCGGATGTCCCCTTTAAATTGAAACCTTTTCATAATCATTATTCACTGATAACTGACTCTTTATTAGATCGTGAGGTTCGTCCTGAATATAATGTAGAAATAATCGCCATGGATTCCGGCGTGCCACCTATAAAAACTGCCAAAACAGTAAATATAAAAGTACTAGACACGAATGATAATTCTCCACTATTCTCACAAACCTCATACAATGTGTACATAAATGAAAATAATCTAGCAGGGGCTTCATTATTTTCCGTATCTGCTTCTGATATTGATCTGAACAAAAATGCTTTTCTTACATATTCAATTCTTGATTCGGGATCTAATTACGTGCCAGCATCATCTTATTTTTATATTAACTCTGAGAATGGAAGTATTTACTGTATGAGCACCTTTGATTATGAAAAGGTAAAACTGTTCAGCGTTGTAGTGCAGGCTAAAGACCAGGGTTCTCCATCTTTGAGCAGCAACGCAACTGTTCATGTATTTATACTGGACCAGAATGATAATGCACCTGCTGTCATTTACCCGTCCACATCCATGGGCTCAGTCTCTCAGCAGAGGATGCCCCGTTCTACTAAAGCAGGGCATCTCGTTACTAAGGTAACAGCAGTGGACGCGGACTCGGGTCATAACGCCTGGCTCTTCTACAGGCTCGCGGAGGCCACGGACACGTCTCTGTTCAGTGTGAATTTACATACGGGAGAGGTGAGGACTAAACGCGCTGTTTCAGAGCACGATGACTCCTCTCAGAGACTGGTCATAGAGATAAAGGATAATGGAGAACCGATCCAGTCCACCACAGTCACAGTGGATATACTGATAGAGGACGGGTTTCATGAGCCCATATCAGACTTTAGAGAGAAAACTATTGAGCCAAACAGGAAGAGTGGCAAAATTACTTTATATCTGATCATTTCTTTGGCTTCTGTGTCTTTGTTGTGTCTTATGACGTTTTTCATCTTACTGGTGAAATGTGCGCGTGGCAGTAGAGGCGGCACAAGCTGCTGTATCAGGAGGACAAATTCTGATTACAAAAACCCTAACAGAAACCTGCAGATCCAGCTCAACACTGACGGGCCCATTAAGTATGTGGAGGTTCTGGGAGGAGATATGATGTCTCAGAGTCAGTCCTTTGGCTCTTATCTCTCTCCAATGTCCGAATTCAGTGATCTCACACTCATTAAGCCCAGCAGCACCACAAACTTTACAGACACGCTAAACACGCTTGATGCGTCATTACCAGACAGCGCGTGGACGTTCGAGAGCCAACAGGTGAGACAAACTTATTTATTAATCATAAAGGCGATGCATAAAATGTATTGACATTTGTTATAGCGTAAACCAACTTTCAGCACCATTGACAGCACCATGTGTGCTTTTGTCTAAAAATTGCAACTTTTCTCCAAAAGAAAGACACTTTTTCAACCTCACACCTCTACCCTTGTCCACACACGCTTGTTGCTCTCAAGTGCGGTATTGTTATATTAGAAACGTGCACCAAATGGTACCAAACGTTAAGGCTTATCTCTTACTTAAGGTCTCATACTTTAGGCTTATCTCATAATTGAGGTCTTGTGATGTTTAGATTATGCATAAATTAAAAGCAGAAAGGGGTCTATAGCTACTAGTAAAAAATGGAGAGTAAAGAGCTTTTTCAGAAAACTGTGGACTTGACAGCAATTTGGGCGGTTCTCAATGCTTTTTGTTTTGCGACACGCGTGGACGTTCGAGAGCCAACAGGTGGAACAAACTTAGATATAACTGAGCTAATGCTTACAAAGTCACTATATATTCTTTTAAAATTGCAGATAACGTGACGAAGCTCTCAGCACCTTGGACAGCACCGTTTCTTTCTCGCGTTTGTGTACGTGTATATAGGAAATTTCTGATGTCCTCATTTCTCAAAAAGCTTCTAAATCACACAGAATGATTTTTTTTTCAGGAAGTAAAACTACTCAGTTTCCTGTGATGATTGGCTTTAGGGGGAGGTTGAAGTAAGAGTGATAGAAAATACCGTTTGTGCAGTATAAAAACAACGAAAACCTATGTAATGTACCCACAATTCACAAAAACAAACATGTGTGTATACACCTGCAAGTCAATCCAAATATTCAAAAAAATTGTAATTTTAATTTTTAATTTAAACATCATTATTAATTATTACAGCAATAGTAATAACACATATAATTGCTTGATAAAATAATAGTCAATTGTATTATAATTTATATTTGTTTAAAGACAATATATCAAACTATTGTGACCCTTGTATTATCTTGCAGTGTTAAAACAATGCACAGTTCTTTGTGTCATTTTGCAAGCAGGTGCTGATGCTGCGCCTTTAAGAGGCTGATTTTTTGCCATTGGTAGTTCAGATTTATGAGAACACCAATCACATGCCGGATTGCACAAAGAGATCTACTCCTTCCCCTTCTAACATTATCGTTTATTGCAATCATTGCAGAGACGAGGGATGCTCTAATCGCTCTGATAAAAATGGACTAAAACACATTATTGTGACAAAATGGACCGGCTAAATTGTCGTATAGGTTGGATCCCTAGATTTGATCAGCGCGGAGAATCGTCTGGATTTTAAATCAAAATGACAAAGAGGGTGGCATTGAAATGGTGGAGGCATTATTTGCTCTTCTTTTTTCTCTTTCTTCTTTTGTGGAATACGACAGAAGGACAGACTCGGTACTCAATTCCAGAGGAATTAAATGTGGGCGCTGTTGTTGGAAACATCGCAAAAGATTTAGGTTTGAAAATATCTGAGCTGTATGACCGTAAACTGCGAATAGCTTCTGAAAAGGGTAAACAGTATTTCAGTCTGGATTTAAGCAGAGGAGAGATTGTGGTCAACGAGAGAATCGACAGAGAGACCATTTGTGGAGAAAACGCAAATTGTCTGTTGCCTCTTCAAATCGTTATTGAGGATCCTTTACAACTTTATAGAGTGGAAGTCGACATACAGGATATTAATGACAATTATCCGCATTTTCAGTCGTCGGACCGTGTTTTAAAGATAGCAGAATCCACTGTTCCTGGCATGCGCTTTCCTTTGGAGAGCGCAGTAGACCTTGATGTGGGCAGTAACTCTTTAAAAACGTACACACTGAGTAAAGACGAATGTTTCAGTTTAAAAATAAAAGATCTTGGCGATGGCCGAAAGATACCCGAATTAGTATTGGAGAAACCTCTGGACCGTGAAAAGAAACCGATGCATCTGTTGATGTTGACTGCTTTAGATGGAGGGAACCCGGTCAGATCAGGAACGTCACAAATTAATGTCACCGTGCTGGATAACAACGACAACAACCCAGTATTTGAGAAAAATGTTTACAAAGTAGCTATTGCTGAAAACACTAACAAGGGTACAACATTTCTAAAAGTTGAAGCAAAAGACGTAGACGAAGGTGCAAACGGAGAGATAAAATATTCCTTAGGTGAGCACACGTCTGACACTTTACGCTCGTTGTTTCAAATCGATGAGAAAACTGGGGACATTTTTCTAAACGGGGAATTGGATTATGAAACCACTCCCATGTACAACATTGAGGTACGTGCCAGAGACAAAGGTGTCCCCGAAATGGAGGGCCATTGTACGGTTAAAATAGAAGTGTCAGATATTAACGATAATCCACCACAGATACTGCTTACATCTAAACCAAACCCTGTGCGCGAGGACGCGCCAAGCGGGACAGTTGTAGCGTTAATAAGCGCAAGAGACACGGACTCTGGAGACAATGGAAAAGTCAGATTGCATACACAGTCTGACCTTCCATTCATTTTAAAAAGATCTTTTTCGAATGAATATTCGTTGGTTACAAATGGTAATTTAGACCGTGAAGGGTATCCAGAGTATAACGTGGAAATCACTGCTTTTGACTCAGGCTCACTATCTTTAAGTAGCAAAACAATAATTCCTGTTAAAATTCTTGATGTTAATGACAACGCCCCGAAGTTCTCTGATAACGTGTATTATGTATACGTAACTGAGAATAACACTCCAGGTTCTATTATCTGTTCAGTGTCCGCCAAAGACATTGATGTCGGCGTAAATGGTAAAATATCATACTCTATTGAGAACCCCAAAGGCTGGGATACCCCAGTCTCGTCGTATATGTACATAAACTCTGACAATGGAAGCATATTTAGCATGCATTCGTTTGACTTCGAAAAAATCAAAGTGTTTGAAGTCATCGTTCAGGCTAAAGATCATGGATCTCCATTTCTAGGCAGCAACGCAACAGTGTATGTGTTTATTTTGGATCAGAACGACAATGTACCGTTTGTCATTTACCCGTCCACATCCATGGGCTCTGTTTCTCATCAGAGGATGCCCCATTCTGCTAAAGCAGGGCATCTCGTAACTAAGGTAACAGCAGTGGACGCGGACTCGGGTCATAACGCCTGGCTGTTTTACAGGCTCGCGGAGGCCACGGACGCGTCTCTTTTCAGTGTGAATTTACATACGGGAGAAGTGAGGACTAAACGCGCTGTTTCAGAGCACGATGACTCCTCTCAGAGACTGGTCATAGAGATAAAGGATAATGGAGATCCGGAGCTGTCCACTACGGTTACGCTGGATATACTAATAGAGGACGGGTTTCATGAGCCAGTTTCAGATTACTATAAGAAAAATGTAGAGCCAAGCAAAAAAAGTGGAAAAATAACTTTATATCTCATCATCTCTTTAGCCGCCGTGTCTTTGCTGTCTTTGGTGACGTTTTTCATCTTACTGGTGAAATGTGCGCGTGGCAGTAGAGGCGGCTCAAGCTGCTGTATCAGGAGGACAAATTCTGATTACAAAAACCCCAACAGAAACCTGCAGATCCAGCTCAACACTGACGGGCCCATTAAGTATGTGGAGGTTCTGGGAGGAGATATGATGTCTCAGAGCCAGTCTTTTGGCTCTTATCTCTCTCCAATGTCCGAATTCAGTGATCTCACTCTCATTAAGCCCAGCAGCACCACAAACTTTACAGACACGCTAAACACGCTTGATGCGTCATTACCAGACAGCGCGTGGACGTTCGAGAGCCAACAGGTGAGACAAAAATTGCATTTAATGATCATAAAGGCGCTGCATAAAATGTACTGACATCTGTGACAGGGTAAAGCAACTTTCAGCACCGTTGACAGCACCATGTATGCTTTTGTTTAAAAGCCACAACTTTCCTCCAATAGAAAGGCACTTTTTTAACCCCACCCCTCTCTCCTTGTCTCACATTCCCACACAGTCTTGTTGCTCCCAAGTGCGGTATTGTTAAATCAGAAACGTTTAGGCTCATATCATTTGTGAGGTCTGTTGATGTCTGTATTATGCATAAATTAAAAAACAGAAAGGAGTCTATTAGCTACTAATAAAGAAATGGAGAGTAAAGAGCTTTTTCAGAAAACTTTGGACTTGACAGCAGTTTGGATGGTTCTTCACGCTTTGTGTTTTGCAACACATGCTTCGGAACTTTTATATTCCACAGCGGAGGAATCTAAACCAGGAACTATTGTTGGACACTTGACTAAAGATTTAGGAATGGATATACATATGATAGTTTTAAGACAGATGCGCATAATCTCGGAATCTAATGATAAATATTTTAACGTGGACCTGACATCTGGAGCTTTGGTGATCAAGGAAACAATGGACAGGGAGATTTTGTGTGGAGGACGTTTACATTGTCACATTCGGATCCAGATTTCTCTTCAAAATCCGTTGGAAATGCACAGCGTTTCGATTGAAATTGTGGATGTTAACGACAACGCGCCACAGTTCCAAAGCCAAAATACTTCTTTGGAAGTTTCAGAAGCGGCAGCTCCCGGCACGTCGTTCCGCCTAGAAAGTGCGCATGACCCGGACGTGGGAGTGAATTCACTGCGCGCTTATTATCTCAGTCAAAACGACTGTTTCATTCTAAAAATAGATACAAAAAGTGATGGCAGCAAAATCCCAATTTTAGTCCTAAACAAGCCTCTTGACAGAGAAAAGATGAGTGAATACCGATTAATTTTAACTGCAGTTGATGGTGGCAGTGCAGAGAAATCCGGCAATAGTGCTGTTTTTATAAATATTCTTGATGTCAACGACAATGCTCCACACTTTCTTAATCCTACTAAAAGAGTCACTCTTTTAGAAAATTCTCCGCATGGAACATTAGTCACACTTCTTAACGCCTCTGATGCCGATCATGGTCAAAATGGTGAGATATCTTACACTTTTGACAAATACACACCTGACAGTGTTCTGAAACTGTTCAGCGTGGATTCGGTGACAGGCGAAATTAGAGTTACGGGACTGATCGATCACGAGCTGGCGAAGGTGCATGACGTCACGGTCCTAGCAAGGGACAAAGGAATGCCCCCGATGGAGGGCTCGTGCAACATCAAAATCGAGATTATAGACGTGAACGATAACACACCTGAAATTAGCATTAACATGGTTTCTTCTGTAATATCTGAAGATGTGACTTTAGGCACTGTCATTGCACTTATTAAAGTTAAAGATGAAGACACAGGCAAAAATGGCGAAGTGAACCTGCACATTCCTTATGGGTTGCCTTTCAAGATCAGTTCGCCATATAAGGGCCTTTTCACTTTAATGGCCGATGGCCTTCTGGACAGAGAAGCTGTGGCTGAATACACCATCACTGTGACCGCCACAGACTCTGGTTCCCCGCCTCGCTCCTCGCAGAAATCTTTTGTGCTGTGTCTTTCAGATGTTAATGATAACCCCCCAGTCTTTTCACAGCCTTCCTACTCTGTGGACATAGCTGAAAACAATGCCCCAAATGCTCCCCTTCTGTCCGTGTCTGCCTCAGACCCAGATGTGGGTGAAAATTCCACCATTTCATTCTCAATTTTAGAGAGTGAGGCTCTTGGTTTGTCTGTTTCTTCATATGTATATATAAACCCAAATAGTGGGCAAATTTATGCTATCAGAAAGTTTGATTATGAACATCTGAATGCGTTTCAATTTGTAGTGCAGGTTCAGGATAGAGGAACTCCATCTCAAAGCTCCAATGCCACTGTGCACGTGTTTATTAAGGATCAGAATGATCATCCTCCTATCCTTATTTACCCTGCACCCACATCCGATGGGACTCTGCATTTTTTTATACCTAGAACTGCCAGTATCGGACACCTAGTAAATCGTATTACGTTTGTAGATGGTGATAGTGGTCACAATGCCTGGTTATTCTACAGCATCTTGGGGCCTGATGCTGAAATGTTTCACATAGATGCACATACTGGAGAGCTGCGTACTGCACAAAAACTTTCAGAAGAGGACAGCAAATCTGTCTTTAGCCTTAATGTGATTGTAAAGGATAACGGAAGGCCTTCTCGTTCTGCTAGTGTGGCAGTTAACATCACCCTGGCTGAAAAATCCTCAGACGTTTCTTCTGAACGCAGGAGCCTCACCTCCAAAACACCAACTGGATCTAACCTCACACTGTACCTTATAATCACATTATCTTTCATTATTGCGTTCTCTTTCCTGGCTATCATTGCTATAGCAGTACGCTGGCTCAGCCATCATGGTTATATGATCTGCCTCATGCAAAAACTTGGTTTTAAACACACACCTCGTGCGCACCAACATAATGACCTTCATCTGCAACTAAACACTGATGGTCCTATTAGATTCATGGAGGTCGTGGGGGCCACTCAGGATTTCCACAAACACGCGTATACTCCTGGTTTGTCCACCATCTCCAGTAGGAGTGATTTTGTGTTTGTTAAGGCCCCAGAGAGCACTCTAAGCATGCGACTGTCAAAAAGACTCTTCGCTCACTCACTTATGAAGGTGAGAGTTTCTGAAAATATTATAGGCTCCCATTTGAACGTTTGGGGTTGGTATGATTTTTTAAAGCAGTAAAAAAAAAAAAAATAATATATATATATATATATATTCATTCATGTTTAACTGAAATTTATTTCTGTAATGCAAAGCTTAATTTTTAGCAGCTATTACTCCAGCGTTAAGTGGCACATAATCCTTCAGAAAATCACTTTAATAAATATTTCAAAACTCAGGATTCTTTGATAAATAAAAAGCTCAAAAGAATAAAATTTTTATCAAAATCATAAATTCATTTACAATCAAATCTGAACAATTGAATGCATTCTTTATGAAGTATTACTATCATTCTGCCTTTTACTGTTCCCAAACATTTCATGCATAGTGTGAACCATCCCTTACAAACTATATTGCATCTCTAAAAACACACGACTCAAGGTTCATGTGGATGTGCTCTAAATTTACATAATTTCTCAAAAACATTTCTAGTAAAATGGAAACCATGCTGTAGGTGTCTGTTAAGTACTACTGACACAATCACTATGACTCAGTTTTTGGACTAAGCACTCTGTAATGCCAAGTGGATTAGGAATCAGGCCATGGTCTATTTCCAGGTCTATGACACAGCAGAGGATTCAAACAAGAGAGTGTAAAAAAAAACGTGAAAAGTATCTGCTCAGGGGTTCGTTTCCGAAATTCACTGTTAGCCAACTAAGATCTCAAGTGTCATTGTAACAAACAAAGGCTAGTGTAACATGTAACATCACATTTGTTGATTTGGCCTTTTCTAAATCCATCGTTCCAATGAACATTCACAAACTGTGTGGCAAACTTGTACGTTTCCAACTACACCTCTAGAACTGTAGTTAGAAGCATAGTTCCTGGCAGTGTTCTATTCACAGTTATTCCCCCTATGCCCTATTTAATTTTGATTAATGTTATCTCTCTTAAGTGTAATTTGCTTTCAAAGTATTTTTACAGTTCAGTTTTAGCAATCTTCATATTGACAATCGCGCTCCCTTCCCATTGCACTTTGAAAACATTTATGCCATTTTGAACGCAGCCATGGCTCATTACAAAAGCTATAGGTTACCTATTATTTAAAAGCGGAATTTACTTCACGTCTACAAAGCTTGTGAAAACAGAAATATATAGCATTTTAATGCTTTCAATTTATAGTAAGTTATTTATTAAGAGATGTATTTGTACTGTAGGCCTATAAGACATCGGCCTGTTTTAAGAACATTTCTGAAGTGGTTTGAATGTGTCAAACTGTAAAAGTAGACTTACAAATAAATAAACACTAACCTACTTAATAATAATAATAATAATAATAATAATAATAATAATAATAATAATAATAATAACAACAATAATAAATTAATAATATTAACAATAATAATAATTATTATTAAGTAGGTTATTGTTTATTTTCTTAATAAATGGCCTTCTGTAAATTACAACCATAAGCCTACCGATTTATATGATTTATATATGAGATTAGAGTGTTAGCTAAGTGGTTTTTATATTTTAGGACAGAACATGACCTATTCTCAATAATATTTGTAAAGGAAACACTGGCCATATATGTGCTGTTTACATATATTTCAATTAATATGGAAAGCGAGTGCATGTTTTTATCAAAACTAATATTTGATTTTTTTAAAATGTGTGTGCGTGTAAAACAATATAATTTGCACAAAAAAGTATGGGTTTTTTCTCTAAAGAAGTTGTTACTCCACTCTGTTTAGAGCATCATTAAGGACATTTTATGTTATAACTGGCGTGGTTCAAACGATGGATCTGCGACAAAGCAGCTACGGTTTTGAGGAGCTCACCTCTAGATCGTTCTTTTCTCCAACGATGCATGGTGCTATGATAGTTCAGCCATTAGTTATGTCATTGTTTGGGAAACACACCCCAGGTTGGGTGAAGCTGCTTTTTGCTGTTGTTATCTTTTACAAATTTGAAGGAAGAAGTTTTGTGCATGTTATGCATTTCCAAATATAAATTGTCTTTTAGAGAATTATTATGGTGCAACATAACTGAAAGCTCTTTTGCAACAAAATGGCTCAACTCAGTGTGGAAGGATGCAGTGAAGTTGTGTTGTATGCTAAAGAAAAATAGAGGAAACAATTGAAAAGTTGGTGAAAAAACATTAGGCATAACACCCTCACAGGTAAGCTCATATTTAGCTTGATACACACTTGTGTGCATTCTTCTCATGTACATGCACTCACGTGTGACAGCAACATGATCAAAGTATCAATAATTCACACACACTCGTCTCAACTGATTTTCTACCCTATGTTCTTCCCTCTACTCCCCTTAACTTATTCATTTTGCACCAGTAAACAGTCCTGAGGGAAAGAAGAGGATCAAATTATACTCTGATGTCAATAACAGCAATTTGTGTTTCAGAACTTCAATTTTCTATGACGGGAAGGAGGAACCTCTGCTTCAGAATGGAATACTAGTGCATATTAATCTCCCTGCCAATCAGCAATACTGACAAAACGTTTTTCTTCTTATTTTCAGCAAAAGCCACCTAATACTGACTGGCGATTTCCCCCAAACCAGAGGCCTGGACCCAGCGGGTGAGTGTGACATTCAATTACATGTCTTGCAAAACCTATAAATACATTTGAGATTATACACATGGTATTACGTTCCCTCTTTTGTAATAATTTTCATGCAATCTGTCTGATTGGAATTTTTGTAAAATGATTGCATAATGATGGATCAAAATCAGAGATTATACCTAAATTATATGATTGCCTAGCTATTTAGTGGTTGAAAAGAAAGGAAAATAATATGAATTAAAATGCAAATTTTCCTTCGTTTAGTGTTTTCATTAATGTATTTCAGGGATCATACACATTTTTACTACAAAAATTCCATGATTTTTCCAAGACTTTCAAGTAAATTTTCATGACCTAACGTTTTATGCATGTCTAAAACCTCTCGTAAAACATGCAACAATCTATTTAGTTTCAATGTATATCTATGTAAAATTGATTTAGATAATGCTTTACCGCACTAATAATGTAAGAGTATGTGATTGGCCAAGGACAGAAAAGAAGTAAAGACAACTAACCTATATTCAGACTTTTCCATGTCTGAATATAGGTTATTTTCATGACTTTTCCAAAAGTTTGAAGGTTTTTCTGTTTTTCTGAAACTTTTCCAGGCCTGGAAAATGCCATGTCAAAATTCCATGACTTTTCCAGGTTTTCCATGACTGTATGAATTCAGGTATTTAGTCTGTTATAGATAAAAAAAATAATACTTTTAACAAAAATCAACAAATACCAAACTATTTGGGTTAAAATCTTAAAGTTTACTTATTTGTAAGTGTTTTCATCTCTACATATAATCTAAATTATTTTTAGGTATATTTTCAAATATATAGTATTTTAAATTTTATAATCCTGAATAATAATAATAATAATAATTTAAAAAAATAATGCAATTGCAATAATATATGTAATTGCATTAAATATTAATGCAAGGAAAACAATGTGAGGGAAATCAAACAAAGTAAATTCTGCAAAAAAAAGTATACCATGGGGGACTAAAAGGAGTGTGCAAAAAAAATCTTAAGAAAATCCTGCAATGAAAATTATTTAAAAGAAATCATGCAAAACATCCTCCAGCAAGTATATTAAGGCAGCACTAATCAGATAAAACCATCCAAAGGTTAACCAGCTACCTGCAAATGTCATTGTATCCACCTATTTTTAATGCACAAGCTGGTGCCTTACATTTCCAGTAATTTTACTTGTACAAACACTGTTATGCTATTAAATATTGCCAACTGCTATTTGTTATCATATTATTGTAATGTATACTCATATTTTTTATTTTTATTTTTTTTACTTGGTGTGAATACACTCACCGGCCACTTTATTAGGTACACCTTACTAGGACCCCTTTTGCCTTCAGAATTGCCTCAATCCTTCATGGCATATATTCAACATACTGAAAATTTGATTGAGTTCTGGTGACTGTGGAGGCTATTTGAGTAGAGTGAACTCATTGTCATGTGCAAGAAAACAGTCTGAGATAATTCGCGCTTTATGACATGGCGTGTTATCCTGCTGAAAGTAGCCATCAGAAAATCAGCAAAAATACTTAGGTAGGCTGTGGTGTTGATAAGATGCTCAATTGGTACTAATGGGCCCAAAGTGGGCCTAGAAAATATCTCCCACACCAATACACTACCACCACTATTCTAAACCATTGAGTGGACAGGTGTACCAAATAAAGTGGCTGGTGAGTGTACAATTTTACACCAATAAAAAAACTAAATAATTCCAAGTGTGTATTTTCATAATCATAAATACAATCGCTTGTTGTATAAAAAAGTTTTTACTCACTTTGTTAATCTGCAATACATTTACTATACATTGTCTATAGTGGCTGATGAGTCAGAAGTCTCACTCATAAAAAAAACACTTACTTACTCGCTGCAAAATAAGGTTTGACCTCAGAGGAAACCCATCCATGTGCTCTGGTCAGTCTGGTCTTGTCCTCAGTGGACGCAGGGTTATTGAGTGACAGCTGCATGCTCCTGTGCTTATGTTTCAGCCAACACAGGTTCCACACCCTGCAGCAGAGATGGACTCCATACGAGAAGTCCAGGTAGAGTGAAGGCGAAGTGAAGGCTAGTGTGTGGTAGCGTTTGGCTTCACCTGGCGTAGCCTTCTAGTGGAATGTTGTGTTTAGGTCGTTCAGATTATGTGTCCCGCAGCTTCCAGCGACATGCTGTCCAGTCTGTTCCTACACATATAAATGTGAACACAAATTACATGCAGTTCAGTTCATTTAAGGATAAGGCTTTTGGATGTATGTGTATCGCTGATAGCTGTTCGTTGCATCTTGCTCTGCGGGTTGTTGTTGCACTGTGTTTACCTGTGCTTAGTAAACTTGTTTGATTTATTTTGGCTTTGTAGAGCCAAGTCTGTGAAGTCTGTCCCCAAAGAGTAGAGACATATTTCTGTCCTCATGTATGGACTCCACTATCAATCTGTTTGTGTGGGCAGAGAGAGCATTTGTTTTCTTTAAAGCTATTTATTGATGTCATTTTGAAAACTGAGCAGCCTATAATAATCAAAACATACTTAAAGGAATATTTTACCCAAAAAATAAATGATGTTATTATCATTTACTCTGCCTCATATTGCTTCAAAACTATATAACTCACTTTCCTTTATGAAAAACAAAAAGAAGTAGTTTCACTCAGCATTAGACTTCACTGAATTCCTATGTATGAACTGATTTTTACACAGAGCTGGTTAATTTCTTACTGCAGATTGTATATAGTCTGCTGTTCTTACACTGATCCCATTCATTTGTCATTCATTGATAACATAAAAAAACCATTCATGCTAGCTAAACTGGAATAGAAATCATTTTTACTCAAAATGGCATGAATTATTAGTCACTTGTCAATACATTTCACAATTAATTAAAAAGAAGCAGTCAGTAGCACTGCTAAAAAAAACATTATTTAAATCTTGATATAAAAGGACTGAAATAGGGATTTATAATAAAATATACTCTAGTGACCTGTTTTATTTACAAAAAATATAGAACTCTTTTTACCAGAGTGTGATGACATATTTCAAAGTTCCTATTATATTTTCTTGATTTTCTTGAATATAATGTGCATGTATACCACTGCACAATATTTTGTGTTTAAATTTCCTAGCATTAAATAAAAGAAATACAACTGCATGACAGTTTCTAATACAGCATCTGATGAATTAACAGCAAATTTGGCATTATTTTTTAATTTAAAGTCAATAACATATATATTTTTACATGCTATTAGGGCAAACACAAAAAATATATATATTGTAGTTTCTGTTCACCGCAACAGAAGTTTTCGTGAAAAGGGTCTATATTCAATTTAGTGTAATTGAAAAACATGTCTGGATCAACATGAGGGTCAGTAAATGACATTTGTCATTTTTGGGTGAGATGTCCCTTTAAATAAAGCTTCTTGTGATTTGATCAAAGGGTAAAGTGCAGATGTATGTGCATGTCTCATGATGGAATCAGACAGAACAACTCTGTTCTACTCGTCTGTCCGTTTACATCATGCTTACCTCTAGTCTCCATTTTCTGACTGCACTGCACTGTCCTGCCCTGTGCCACAAAATGGCTGTCTCAGCTAATAAACTGGGTTTATGCTAGCAAACTTGGTGGCTGCTGTATTTCTATGTGTGTGCTGGTAAAAGGTAAAATGAAAAAAGGAAGCGCCATGAATATGTTTGAGCACACATGGAGTCACTAACCCTGTTTTCTGTCATCTAGGGCTGGAGCACGTCCTGAAGAGGCAGGTGCCGGTGCTGGTGTGATAGCAGGAACAGGACCATGGCCCAACCCCCCTACTGAGGCTGAACAGCTCCAGGCTATGATGGCAGCAGCAAACGGTGAGTCTCAATCTCTTCTAAAAAAATGCATTAGAAAAAGAGAACTAGCCTTTAAGAACCTAGCTTTTAAGAAGAAAAAAAAAGCATAAAATATTCATTACAATCTTCACCACAAACATTATTTTGGTTTATCAGCTTTAAAAGCTTTGCTTTAAATGGGCAAGATAATCTAGCGGGTTGAGCTAATAAAGCAACCCGTTCGGGGCAAATCAGCCCACCGGCATGCAAAACACAGCATATGCTGTGTATTTGATACATCAGTCCTCAAGGTCAGATTCTAGTAACTATTATGTAAGAAAAGAGAAAGATGGAGTGAAAAAAGAAAGAGCGAGAGAGAGAAAGAGAGAGAGAGAAGCTACTAGGATACAATGAGTTTCACTATTTATTGACTGTTATAGTCAAACTAATTGAGTGTTAAGAGACAAAAGAACCTTTCTCTCTCTCTCAACAACTGCAGTCAGAATGATAACACTGCACTGTTCTTCTCTGACTAGATGCACTTCATCTTTCTCAGAAACAGAATCTCAAGAGTTTTATCCATATGTTCATTTATGCTAGATGAAGCCGAGCTAGAATTGTATAGATCGGTTTAATTTTAAGTAAAGTTATATATATATATATATTATAGTTGAGGAACACCTTGAGGAACACTTAAAGTATTTTCAGTTACACAACAAAAAGTATTAAGAATCTTCAGAACCTTTTTTTTTTTTACAATATATTGTTCAATGAATGATATGTTGATGTTTCCTCATGGTAAAATTGCTGGCATTAACATACATTTTTAATACTGAGATGCTTTAAATTATGTCACAGTGGAAAAAAGTCAATTGGAACACAACTTGTCACGTAAATAGTATACTTTCCTGAAAGGAATAGTTTATTCAAAATTGAAAATTGACCATATTACTCACCCTTCAAATGATTTCAAACATTTTTGAGTTTCTTTCTTCTGATAGAAGTTGTTCTGAAGAATGTTGGTAAATGCTTTGGAAATGAATGGCTACATGTTTCTAACATTCTTCAAAATATCTTCTTTGTGTTCAACAGAAGAAAGAAACACACACAGGTTTGAAACAAGTGGACGGTGAGTAAACAATGACAGAATTTTCAGTTTTAGGTGAACTATTTCATTAGTGTGATCTAAATGCAGTGTTTTATTGCATAATTTATTTAAACAACTGTTTTAACTGCAACTAAATTAAATAAAATTAATATTGTATATATATTTTACATTCATTAATTCACATTGTTAAAACTACAGTCTAGTACCTACCATGTGCTTTAGAATTAATCAATACACACAAAAAACAGCACAACATATTTCTAACAGCAATCAACAACACTATTAAAAAAATGTGCAGAATAATTTTTCCATCGTTACAATGTATAGATGTTAAAAGTTAACATACATTTATTACACATACAGCTTGTTTCATTGTGAATTTGTACAGACACAGATTTAGGCTGTGAGGAATAACTGATCTGCATTATTGCTGTAAAAGGACAATTTCACAGTGCATTTTACAAAAACATTTCATTGAGCTCTTTTTGTATACATATGTATTCTGTTCCTCACAGTGCTGCTGAGTATGTGATGTGTGTCGATGTTACGCCATACATAATGCATGGGGGAAGGGCAGGCAGAAGCAGGTCACTGAGGAAGCTGCAATGCGGCTCCTGAGTGACTGAATTATGAGCTCTGTGCCGAACCAACCCATATATAACCTTCCCCATCTCTCTCTCTCTCTCTCTCTCTCTCTCTCTCTCTCTCTCTCTCTCTCTCTCTCTGTTTTCTATGCTCCTTCTATTTATTCTTTCTCTCTTTCTTTCTTTCTTTCTTTCTTTCTTTCTTTCTTTCTTTCTTTCTGTCATCCTACCGTTGCTCTCAGAAGCAAGTGAAGCCACTGCGACTCTTGGCCCTCGCTACAATCTACAGTATGGCCCGGATTACCGTCAGAACGTCTACATCCCAGGCAGCACTGCCACCCTTACAGCCAACCCTCAGCAACAGGTTCTCCAGCAGGCCCTTCCTCCACCACAGGCCCTTCCACCTACCGAAGTCCCCAAAGCGGCTCAAACACCAGCCAGTAAGAAGAAACCCACAAAGAAAGACAAGAAGTAAGACCTGTGGAAGAGCTGAAGAAACATGTTGCCGGGAATCTAAACATCTATCCTCTCAAACCATGTTGGGTTTGGATGAAGATTTAAAAAGAAAAAAGTGAATAGTATTACTTGTTTTAGCGTTAACATGAGACAATAAGCAACCAAACAAGAGGAAATGTGTTCAGATTCCCGAAGCCCTTTCTCTGACAGATATCTCTGTCTTGTAAATAGCATACTAAAACAAGAAGAAACACATTTCTTCTTTTTATTTTTTCCCTCAAATGTCACGTTTTAGGCTTTTTGTGTTCTTTTCAAAGCAAAGTAGATGCTTATTGTGGATACAAAATGAAACGCTGTTAGGCTTTTTAACATGATGTGCCACAACTCTCACCTTAACTGAAGAAAGGAGTATTTAGCTGAACTATGCATTGCAAAGGAGATACAAAAGGTGAACGTATATATAAAGTGTTTTCCAGGTGAGATAATACATGTATATTTGCGTAAAAAAATCTGACGGTGAGACACTGGATTGTCGGCATGGTGTTTAAAAATAGATTCAGTCTTCTCATTAACTTCTTAATAGCCAGTTAAGCAGAGCTGAATGTTAGGTTAATGACGTTTGACTATTCTTTGTTATTATTTCCTGTTGGCGTGCTAAAGAATCCTCTGGAAATGAAGTAATGTAAACAGTGTTTTTTTGATGCTGAGAAAAGATAATCACAGCCTTTGTAAGGTCAATGATTTGGGTCAAAGGAAGAAGATCTAAAGAAGGAAACAGCAGAAATGTGCTTGAATGGATCTTAGATGGAAGGATTTCATGTCTGTTCATCTGCACCTACCACCACTATCGTGTATATAAAATGTGTAACCTGTCTGTACAAACATTAGAGCCACAAGGGCTGGCTGTTACAGGAATGTTTCAGTATTTTTTACAAAAAAAAAAACAACAAAAAAAGACACAAGAAAAAAAAAAGATCCAGTGTAGTGTTTTAGGAATAAAAGCTTCAAGTCCATTGACTAACCAAACTGTACATACTACGAAACTTCTGATGACACGCAATCGTAGCTTAAGGCTTGTGGAGTATGTGCATATTTTTGTGTTTTCCCCCTCTTGATTACACTTTACTTTCCTCTTCTCCAATCACCTAAACCTTTGAAAGATAACAGACAATACTTATACTGTCTTTGCTATAGAGTAACACCCTTTCCCATCTTACTGTACTTTTCTGTGCTTGTAATTCCAATCAGTCCTTAATGATACTGGAATGCCACTCCTGTCTGTTTGACTTTGAATATCTATCTATCTATCTATATATATAAATGTCTGTCTGCTGCTTGGCTACTTTTTCTGTATTTGACTGTGATTCCTTTAAAGAAACGCTTAGCACCTCATGTTACTCTTTTTATTTTATAATCTACTATTTATATCGCTGTTTGATTTATGTTTTACTTTATTATTGGAACACTTACATTTGAAATAAAATTTTGTCAGAACTCACAGTCATGGCTGAGGTGTATTTTTCTTTTAACTGCTTGGTTTGTAGACATGTGACTCCTTTACTAGTGTTTAGTGTATTTAATTTAATTTAATTTAATTTAATTTAATTTAATTTAATTTAATTTAATTTAATTTAATTTAATTTAATTTAATTTAATTTAATTTTATTTGTGATAAATTTCTAATTTTTAATCATTTTTATATAATTTCTTTTTATTAAAAATGTCATACTATTTCAAAAATATATAACGTGTGTCTGTGTGTGTGTGTGCATATATATATATATATATATATATATATATATATATATATATATATATATATATATATATATATGTTTTTTTACTTATGCTTATTTCTATTTTATTTGTTATATATATATGTATATATATATATATATATATATATATATACATACACACACACACGCACACAAACACACACACACATATACATGTACCTAGAGCAATTTGATTTTCTAATTTATCTGCCTAATGTTCATCTCTGCAACTTCAGTGCTCATGACCCATTTTAAGATTCAGTAATTCAGTTGAGAACGGAGAATAAGAATGCTGGCGTCAGAAAGCAAGAGCTCTGCAGAGATTTCATAAGTAGGACATCAGCCCTGTTCTCCAGCATCCACAAATAGCAGAGACATACGTGTGCGGAGGCGTTCCCAATGACACAGAAACACAACTCTTCGCTGTACTATTAGGAAATAGCTAGAAAAAGTCCAGAAAATAGCATAAAAAGACAAAAATCTTATAAAGCTCAAACAAGATCCTAAACACCTGCTCATATGAAATTAAACATAAGACATTAGAGATTACTTGGAAAAAAAACATTAACTATCAGCCATTCGTATACGTTCAGGGACATTTAGTTTAATTGCAGTTTTGTTCAAATGAATTGTGGGAAAAATTACAGCTCTCATTTTCAGCTTTGAAATCACAACTGACTCACCAGTTATTATCTAAAAGCCAGTATCAGCATCATACTCTAAATGCCTGTCAAATGAAAACATTGTTATTTTCAATATTAAAATAAAATGACTGTACTATCACATTAATAAAGGTATGGGTGCTGTCATTGGGGCAGTGCCTTTTCAAAAGATATATAATTGTACCTATAGAGTCCACAGGGGTACCTCAAAGGTATATATTAGTATACAAATGTACCTAAAATGTATCTTTGAGGTATGATTATAGACCCTTCAGGTACAAATATGTATCTTTCGAAAAAGTACTACTCCAGTGACAGCACCTGTATTTCTGAGAGTGTAGCAATGCAACTAGTGCAAAAACAGACTGCTGTCTCTAGGTGAACAGGGTAAAATAAAATCGTAGCATAAAATAAAATAGTAACAAAAAGTAACATTTTACCTTTTCTAAAAATGTAAATATGCAAATGAAGAGTTATTAATTACACTAATTTGTGTATATTTCTAACACAAAAATCTGAACAATGGATAAAGTCATGTTCAAAATCTTTGCGGTAATAAATATGAATTATTTTGTCTTATTGTTTTGGTTTGTTTTATTGTTTTAACAAAGGGGATTTGGGGAATTTCTTTCTATTAAACATATTTAAACATGCACAGTCAGTCAAATCATGTATGAAGATGCCCCTTTAGGTAAAAACCTAATGAATATTAAAACTAAAAAGTACGTGGGTATGTAAGTTCAGCTAAAGTATGTAAAAAAAAACTCATTTTGAGAAAAAGGCATTTAAATATGTTATTGCAATTTAAATCTACAGACAAGAATTGATTATAAGTGACAAAAAAGACTTAAATGTGTATTTAAGTTGTTAAGTTATTAGACTGAAAAGGCACTTTGTGAAAAGCTCAAAATCAAAAATTTGACAGGCATGATTTTTGCCTGCAATGTCTCACCATAAACTGAAGGTCATGCGTTCTCAGATTCACTTGCACAATCACATTATAGATTGTATCGACTACAGTCGAGAACATGGTTAAATTAGATGAGCTACTTTAAAGGCTTAACCCTCCATTTTATTAAAGCAGACCTGCTCTCAGCAAAGCGTTTTCCTTTCCTCCATGAAATGGCCGACAGCTCACACAACTGCAGCAGTTGCCTTGGTGATTGAGAGAAGGACTGCGATATTCTGAGAAAAACAGCAGCATGCAATCACGATCAGTCAGGTGAAATGCACACGATGCAGCAAAACACAATTCACTAATCATGGGATGAAATATGCAAGCCTAATTGTCTTTAAAAATAAATCAGTAAATATGTCACTTTAAAATGTTCAAAACCACAGCAAAAAGCATGAGAAAAGATGCAGGACTGAAATAGAGATAGTAATAAAATAATGAGGTAAAAATATAATAATAGTAGTAATAATAATAGTTATTATTAAGACATCCAACATTCAGACTTTTTAGGTCGTATTTCTTTAAACAGGATGAAAAAATCGTATTAAATCTGATAAGAAATTCATAAACAGTGATGTGTTAAAATGGTAAATGTTATAATTCTTAAAATCACACTTTTAATGTTTAAATGGCTATTATTTGCATGTGGCTTTCTGCTAACTTTCTAGAGTGTACGCACAGTCTGTGTAGCCTCATTTTATATGTCATCCACTTGAAGCCTTTAAAGATGCAGGAAGCTATGTGTACATAATCTGTCTAAAATGCCTTATCTGGGAATGATATCATTAATGCAGCGCTTCAGACGGGCATCTTTCCAAGACAGCAGCTGCTTGAGAGCTAAACTCTGCATTTCCTCTGTGCCACGGAGATTATGCAGCCAATCAGCCAGTCGAAAAAATCACACTCAGGACTGTTTAAAAGGCTAGTGACTGAGCAGTCAACATATTATACACAGGAAAACTCAGACACATTAGTAGAAATCTTTTCATATCTGCTTAGGAATACAATACAAATTCAATTAGAATTTATACTTCAGTGCTGTTGAATACTTAAGTCTGATTTGCTGATGAACATTTAAAGGTGTGTTGTTACTTTCAGAACGCGTGGCTGAGTAGTTCCAGTGAGGTCTTTCAGTGAGAATTTGTTCATAAACAGATCAATGGTTCACTTTATCGTTAAATATAGTTAATATTTCCTACAGGAAGTAGTGTTGTTAGAGTGTTGTGGTAAAAAGTGGTGTTGTTGCAATAACTGGTAACACTTAATTTGATGGTTTGTTTGAGTATTAGTAGACTGTCCGCTTAATATTTGTTGATACTGCTCCTTCAACAGACATTTAACTGACTATAAGAAACTTTGAAAGTACATGTCAACTTACACTAGCCCCAACTTAACAGTCTACTCCTAATCTAATGAGAATTAGTTGGCATACAATGCAGCTTAAATTCAACAAATGGACAATCAAAATAAAGTGTGCCCCAATAACTTTCATGTCAAGCAGCTAAAATGATGGCCTGGTACAGGTTATACTTTTTAGTAGACATAAAACAATTTTAAATGTCTTAACAGATTTTATTGGCATGATATCAGCTTTTAATTTATTACTGATTATTTGTTATTCTATGGCAGAACTTCTAAAGTTGTTTCCCAAACTCTGCATTAAGTGCATTATTATATTATTCTGTGCATATGAACTGTTTAGTTTGTAATTTATATATTTATTTATGTTATTTACCACTTATACATAACAAAATAATCAGTGAGCAATATGAAATGAACAATCCCGAAATTAAATAATTCCTGCTCAAGGCAAGAGTGGTTGAGCTGGGCTTGAATTGGGTTCTCGCCATCTGCAAAAAACACTGTTTCACAGATCTAGGAAACTGATATATATGGGATTTCTTTCACAGATGTTTAAATTCAACCAAGTTGTGTTTTTTTGTGTTAACTTTAAAGGGAATCCAGGAAATCAAGACACCACTAACTATCCTTTGGCTTAGTCCCTGACCAATGTGAAATGAACTGCTAATTACTTTGGCATTGTAAAAATATGTAGAAAAAACATTGTGTTTACATTAGAGTGAAAGAAAATCGTTCACACATTTAGGCGGAAATGACAAATCTTCTAAATGCAAATTTTGGCCTTGTTTTGGAGCACATGAGCTTATAGATATCCTTAAAACTTTATTGTAATTTTGCGGGACCTTAAAAGTCTTCAAAACTTTTAGACTGGGAAAGCAGTGAAGACATAAATCACATCTCTTTTTTGTTGTTCATCTGAAAATGACAAGCAAAAGCTGAACAAAATGGAATCATATTATTTTTGTATCAACATCAATACTGCCTATACAATAGAAGTCAATGGAGCAATTTTGTCATTGAAAACAATGTCAGCATCCATGGTCCAAAATAAATGTGGATTTTTAGGAATGACATTAACATGTCAAGTTATTTTTATAAATATTTCATAAAGAGGTGGCATACACATTATATTAAGGTATATTTGACTTGGCATCCAGACTTCCATTTAACAAAACATTTGAGATGAGATTTGAGACATGATAACACAAAAAGTTCAGTGTACGTTCATCTCTGATTTAACTGTCTGGCAACATTCAGTGGCCTCGTTTTGTCTGTTTAATCAGAGCTGCCTGTTTACCAGAATAAACAAGGTCATTGATCAGAGCCCGCAGACCACGTGGACTTGCCAGTAAATGCCCCACACAAACAGGAGCATCGTTAGGCAGGGCAGATGGTCTTTTCAGCTGCCATTAGACAGTGCCATTGGTCATTCCATAAGGGAAAGGTCAATTCCTTTTAAAACACTGTAGACAATTACTTGCAATAGGTCAGCTGACCAGCAATGTCTTTCATATCTAGCAGTTTGATAGTTTAAAGTCATGTAAAGTTTAAAAAATTAATTTACTCACTGTCAATGGGTTATAATGTATTCCTCAAAAGAACTGGTTCACACTCTTTAAAATAAGAATTTCTATAAAATCCTGGGTTCATCCAGCTTATTGGTTGGCAGACAAATAAGATCGGAAATTGGTGGGTGACTCTACTTTCAGCTATAGGAAGCAGAACTAAAGCCAAAGGTGC